ATATCAATGCGTATAATACGGTATTGATATGATCAAGAGTACATAAACCTCTTGATATGATGTGAAGGCCATCATTTACATATTGATATACATGTAGGCAAGAGTACATGTACTCTTGATGTAGGGCATTCCATTGATTGGTGACAGAAAAAACAAAAGAAATTATAGCAATAAAAACTGCTTTATGGCAGTTTTCTAAAAAAAGTTATTGTGTTCTAGTCCATGGACCCCGTCTAAAAAGTAAGAAATTACCGAAATGTGATAGCTGAAAATTAAAATTTCACACAAAACCTCACAATAATCACACACAGAATTAAAAGCTACTTGTAGAAGACCTTTTCCCCTCGTGATCCTCTTTCCTATGCATTCATGTTGCCAATTGTTGGTGCAGTACAAGTTAAAGTTGAAAGCAGCATTTCAACTTTCAAGTGTTGTGATTATTGTGAGGTTTTGTGTGAAATTTTAATTTTCAGCTATCACATTTCGGTAATTTCTTACTTTTTAGACGGGGTCCATGGACTAGAACACAATAACTTTTTTTAGAAAACTGCCATAAAGCAGTTTTTATTGCTATAATCTTTTTTGAGCAGGCAGGACCACGCTTTCCAGCCCGCGGCGCTGTTTGATCTGTCATTGGTCAACTCCAAGGCGACAATCACGTGACATACGGGAATACATAATCCTACACAGTTGCGAGGGCATGACGCTCTGATCAGGCCCGAGGTCTGTGAGTGATCTTGCCCGAGGTCGCGACGCCCAAGGGGCGTAGCCCCGAGGGCGTCGCGACCGCGGGCAAGATCACTCACATGACCGAGGGCCTGATGATCAGAGCGTCATGCCCGATGCAACCGTGTACGATTGCGGTTAAGACAAGGCCCACATATATGGAGATGTTCAAAGAGAAAAAAAGCCTTGGCAATGGCAAAATGCCGCAATGTCCATCACAAACAGATTTGTTTGGTCAGGACTTTCCACTTTTGAGATGAAAGTATTCAAGTACAGTGAAGGCAGTAGTAACGTTATCAGTACCAGTAATATGATTGGTTGAATAAACCCGTTCACCGAGTAAGATTGATGATTGTCAGAGTAAGGTTCGAATGCTAGTGCTGAGAAGCTACACTTGTTGAGGTCTGCTTCCCTTACGTGCGTTTCGCCGAGTGTTGTGAAACCACAAGTTCTCGAGAGTGAAAGGCCTTCTCGCTTGTGACATTGTGTTCGTGTCAATGCAGTTGTATTCCGACTCCGCCGTACCGCTGATGATTACGACGTAGTATACGCTGCATGCGCTATGTGCGGTTTGCTGTGTGCGCTGTAGTTGTATGTTGTATGTGTATGCTTTTCTCATATACGCTGTCATTTTAACGCTATAACTACCTGGTGGTTTTAGTGTTACATGTAGTTATTCAGTTAGTTTCAGTTGTTCATTAAGTCATCCATTGTTCATTGTTATTAGTCGATGGAAGTGAAATATACTGTTGAGAATAAATAGTTGTCCTCGTGCCGTGTGGGGTCGTTCGTTCCTGATACTTTAGAGAACCAGAGGGTTCACAACACCGAGCAACATGCCCAGCTGCAAGGTTGGATGGCGTTTCTGGCCTCCCTACAGACGTTCAAGACGTTCAAGACAGTAGTGAGTAATTTTGGAGAAGCGATACAAATTTTGAAGAACTCGTCGGAGACTGTGTTGACCAAGGCAAGGATTTCGAAAAATGGTAAGTACGCATGTGCGGCGCGGTGCTGTATGACTACCCGGATATGCGGGCAAGAACAGCAGTTGTACCGTATCGCGTACAGAATAAGCGGGCAAGATCTACTGATCTTGAACGCTTATTCTGGCCGCTCATTGGCTGTGGCCTGGCAACAAGCACGTGCCATGTCTGAAAAAAAATCTGTACTGCATTTTTGTAGTACATTCTGTACTGTATCTTCATGTACTCTTGGGGCGCGTTTGGTTGGTACGAACTAGAACAGGATTCACCAGAACAGCGCGTTTGGTTGGTACGAACTAGAACAGGATTCACCAGAACAGCGCGTTTGGTTGGGACTGCACCTGTTCTGGGTCGGCCAGAACATGTTCTGCTTGCTCCGGCCTCGAGGCCGGAGCAGACCGAGCAGTTTCACTTTTTCACAGTGAAACCTGGAGGGAACATCGATTTTGTTCCCAAATGATCACGTGCATACGCTTTTGGGTTGGACTCGTCGTACCGTACAAAGTGACCATGGTGATCCATACACATTTTGAAGAATGCACCAAGTTTGGCACATTTTTCCACAAAAATGTGCTCTGTTTCTGGAGTAGCGTTTGGTTGGCATGAGGCTGCTCCATGTGCACCAGCTGTTCGATCCTGTTGTGTACCAACCAAACGCACCCTTGGTATCTTGCATTCGCCATGCACGATTTTCCGATGGGCACTGTCTGAAAATGCAAGTTGCGATGCACTCGTACAACTAGGGTTCAGAGTTCTCGCCAAAAACAAGATCTACGCATGCGCGTCTTATAGCCATGGGATTTTTCCCTTGACAAACGCCCTGAGGCCCACGGCCACGGCTTTGCCAATTTTTCCCGAGAGATTCTTCCTTTCCCCCAGTACCATAGTTTCCATAACAACTTTCCCATAAGGCCACCCTTTCTTTTTTCGTTGTTTAACGTCCGCGCCCGCGTACCTTTTTGCCTCCGACCGGAAAAAAAAACAAGAAAGTAGTAGTACCAATAATATGCGAAGTTGTAAATACATGATTGTGTAGTTTCACAGTGTGCCGATCATGACCTTAAACTTATAATCTTGCCTCCGGGGCATGCCTTTGTCTTGTGTTCTTTTTCTTTTTTTGTTGGCTTTTAAATATCGTACGGTGTGTGTCCTAGTAAAAATCCAGATGTAATGAATTCATGACATGCTAACTCCATGCTATGTACCTGTTTTGTTGGATTCATCAGGCATGTGCTCCAATGTACCATCAAAGAGTGTTGTTCTATGCCTGCAAGTGCCGTTAGACCCAGATATATTGTATATATCACATGCTTTACTGGTCAAAATGTTTGATTGGGGTTTCCAGTTTTTGGAATGGGCTTTTGTTTTTTTTTCCGCCCTCCCGCGTACCTTTTCGCGAAAAAAAGGACGTTTTAAAAACAATGAATTAACAAAGGGTGGCCTAACCGTGGTTTTACCCAGGGAGTCGTCAAAAAAAAGGTATTTGACGACTCCCTGGTTTTACCCGTGTGTGTGTGTGAATCCCCTATAAAACGATTTCCCCACAACCGGGGTTTTACCCGTGTGGTTGTGAATCCCGCAACCTACGTCTCAGGTCAAGCTACAAAAGGTTACTTTTTTGCTTCTTTTTTGGCAATAATTTCAGTACTCTCGGCCATGGCCTACACTTGTAGGCCCTGCTTCTCAGGTCTACGCCTTGTAGGCCGGCCAGGGATCCGGAAGTATTAGTTTTCACGACTTCTCGCGTGCGGTGGTGATCAGGCCGCACATGTCCGCAGCGGTGAAACCCACTGAAAAGGGTGAAAGCCTGCGCGCGCATCACTCGTCTCCGACATTCCGAGGTCGAGCGGGCCGAGTGATGCAATGCCACTCGTGTAGGCATGCAGATCTACATGACTGTACTCGCACACCCTAGCCTAGGAGTTGTGAAAGCTGTCACGACTCCAGAGTGCAGTGCTAGTGGCAGTGCACTAGTACATAGTGCACTAGTCTGTAGCAGGGAGTCGTAAAAATACCGGGAGGCGACACGAGATGCACAACCGCGTCGGATGATTGACTCAACTCGGGCACGAGTGATGGAAAATATAGAATCCCCATGAGGTCAAAGCGGCGCAGGTCATGCACAAAGGACGCGTTCGCTGTTTGGTCCCAAAAATCAAAAAAATAATCCTGCTCCCAAGGAATCGTCCGAGTGTCAGCAGTACCGCAGTTTATTTGGTGATTCTAAGTTTGTGCCTTGACGGGATAAAGGATGATGGAGCTAGACAGAGATGCCTGCCAAAGTGATGAGTCCACCGTGGAAGATGTAGATGACGCCACGTATCCACTTGGTGACCTGAGTTGTGGAGATGTTCAGCTGTGGACTACTGGTGAGATTCTCTCGTCTGCATTTTTTGGTCTCGTCTTGTCCTTGTGAACACGAATGTATAATCTGTAGCATACTAAGCGCCCCAAACTCACCCGAAAAATGGGAGTCTGCCCACGGTGCATTGTCTGTTCACTATGACCGTGACAGTGTTGAAACTGTGACAGGATATTATTTTATTAGGGAGGTTTCGCTCTACGGAATCCGCGATATTCATGTTAAAACAAAATGGCGTCACGATTTATTGAAAGTGGTATAGTTGGTGGAACGAGTGTTCAAACCCATTTGAACTTCATACTGTTCGTCTTCTTTTTGACATGCTCCCTTTCCATCGTCCTTAGCTTTTATTTGTTGAGAGCTGTTTTGGCTTTCTCCTATACCTCTGGGGGATGCCAAGTGATGGTTTTGAGAGGCTGGTGATGGCTGTGAGCGAGAGTTTGCCGATCGGCGTCGTCCTCGCTATAGCGATGAAAATGCTAGTTACTGCGCACCTGGCAGATATCACAACACATCGGAGCGTCCAGGAGCAAAGGAATCTTGGGTTTTCACTGGAATCTAGTTCCTCCAGCATCGTGTAGCCCACCGTCGGTGAATGGCGGTCCAGAAAGGTCGAACCTGGTCTTCTGCAGCATCTCGCAGTCCTGCGAGGCACACTGAATACGCCTGTCATGTATTCTACAAATAAAAATCACGAAGTTGTGGACTTTACAGTGATGAGTCTATCCTGTATGCTGCAAAAGACGCAGGAAATGTGACTGGTGTCTGTACACTCAGTGACTGGACGCCAACACCCCAGTCTTTTTCGCGTCGTTATCGTTACATAGACCGACGGACAAGATAATAATTTTAGACTCTGACGAGTATACTTGGTTGGGAGATTTATTGATTAGACTGAAAGACTGATTGTAGAAATACTTGGGTCTGTATAAACACTTCTCTGGCTACTAGTAAATACTTCTCTGGATACTAGTAGTAAATACTTCTCTGGCTACTAGTAAATACTTCTCTGGATACTAGTAGTATATACTTCTCTGGATAAATACTGATCTGAGAGAGAAGCATACATTTGTAACTCTGAAACGAGTGGAAGCAAAATATATCTGTCTACGTGGACGAAGGAGCACCGAGTTCTTTCCTCGTGTGCTGACCTCGTTGCCATAGAAAATAAACATGGCGGTTGTACGCAAGAAAAAATCTCATGCGTAAAAAATACACAAAAATACGTAAAAATAAATAATTCGGAATCTCCGTCGTGAGATTCGCGACACTCCCACAGGCAAGAGAATAAGAAAGAGGGAGAGGGAACAATAAACCGTGTCAGTACACGGGCAAATACATAGAATCGCAATCGGAAGTGTGTCGACGAAGACACAAAGACAGAAAGAGAGAATAGTAATGAGTTGTGCTTGTACGCACGATCGAATAACCAACACGCACTCAGTGTCAGCGGAGGCACAAAGACAGAAAGAGAGAGAAAGAAATGCTAGAATGTTAGTCCGACGAATCAGACAAGATCCTTATCTTTCATGTCCTTGATGCCTTGACGACAACGGTCAGCAGCACGGCGTGTAGGTCTGGCGACTGGCTGTGGGTTACTAGTAACCGGAGTCCGTGGAGCTGCAGGTTCTGCTGGTGGTGTAATATTCGGTGGTGTTGCAGGTTCTGGCATGGTCTCAAGTGGGTAAAGTAAGGTGACAGGTCTCCTAATCCGTCGGTCTGTTCCAGTTACTCTGACCGTGGCTGATCGGATCTCTTGATCTGAGCTGCTGTGCACCTCCACTACTCGACCAAGTTTCCATGAGGCTCTGGGCATGTGTTGCTCAGCAATTATCACCACGTCACCAACCTGAGGCTGCATTGAATGTTCACCACGTTTCCTGCTGTGGGCATCTGCTCGTTCACGCAATGCGAGGAGGTAGTGTTTCCTCCAGTGGCTCCAGAAGGCGTCCACTAACGCTTGACCTCTCTTCCACGTCTGGAGCAAAGAAACAGCAGAAGACAAATCGGGAACAAACTGAGTATCAAATTCATCATGAGTAGGAGACAGAGGCGGGAACCCTAAGCTAGGTTTCAGAGATAGAAAGTGAGAGGGTGTGATCACCCCACAGTCACCCGAGTCACCCCCTACATACACCAGAGGCCGACTATTGACAACCGCTTCTGCTTCAGTGAGTACCGTCAGGAGTTGAGTCGGTAACAGGCGTCGATTGCCGATGGCCTTGCGCAACGCTGACTTCACAACACCCACCATGCGTTCATAAACGCCTCCCATCCATGGTGCAGATTCTACAATAAATTGCCACGAGATGCCTTTCGAAGTGGCGTGATGCACCACATCAGGGTCAATGACGAGTTGCGACCAGGCTTTGTCGATGGCGGACTTCGTCAGTTTGAACTGTGGGGCATTATCAGAGACAATGAACTGGGGAACCCCACGCCTTGCAGTGAAGCGCCGGAGGCAGAGGACAAAGTGCTCCGCACTCATGTTTTCCACTAACTCCAAGTGTACTGCCCTTGTCACTAGACAAGTGAATAGGCATACCCATGTCTTAGATACTTCGCTGTCTGGGTTGCGCACATAGATTGGCCCGAAATAGTCGAGTCCGGTGAAAGTAAACGCGTCAGCTGCTGTTACTCGCTGTGATGGTAGCTGGGGCATCTGTGGCTGATGATACGGTCCACCTTGCAGACGTCTGCACACCACACACTTCTTCAGAACAGATTTGATGGAGCGTCGGCCTTGAGGGATCCAGTACTGGTTTCTCAAGGATGCCAATGTGTGGGTACCACCCGCATGCATCAGACTGTGGTGAGTCTCACTGATTATTAGTGTGGTCAGGTGAGAACTGCTGGACAGGAGGATAGGCGAACGTGCCGACTCAGGAACGTCTGCAAACTGTAGGCGCCCAGCAGATCTGATGATTCCTTCATGAGTGTAGAGACGGAGAGAGACAATAAGTTGATTAGATTTTCCATCTTGTAGATCCGAGTAAGTCTGAGCGTACTGCTGGCGTTGGTCAAACTTCAACCACGTCACGTGAGCTTTGCGGAGCTCTTCAGAGGAGAGCCAGGGTGTACTGTGACATCTCTCTTGCTTGCGGCATTTTTCGACGAAACGACTTGCCCATGCGGTAACTCGAATCAGTTTGCTCAACGACGAAAATCTAGTGATGTCAATGCCAAACGGGGGTTCACATCCCTTTTTTTTGAGCGGGAAGTGGGTGTGCTCTCGCTGCCCTTTTTTTTTTGAACGGGGGATGAGGGCTCCGTCTGTGTCTCCTTTTTTTTTGAACGGAGAGCAGGATCTGCAACCTTTTTTTTGAGCGGTCGCAAGAAGCCTCACTGACATCACCGGGAACCGAAGTCGAACAGAGGGCCGAGTCTTCTGCAACCTTTTTTTTTGAGCGGTCGCAAGAAGTCTCACTAGCAGGACCGAATTCCGAAGGACCCTCCCCCTGTACATGAGATGCAGGAGCGAATGTACCTGGGAACTCTGGTTCGGAGATAGAGGGATCAATAAGCCAGTTAGGACCATGCCACCACAACGACTCCTCAGAGAGATGTATGGTACTGCCACGGGAAGGCAAGTCGGCTGGATTCTCGAAGGTAGGTACATACTTGCACTCAACACCTGACTCGTTGATATACTTGACACGGTTCTGTACGAAGCTGGGGAGTTTCTTGGTACTTCGAACCCAGCCCAGGACACACGTTGAGTCAAGCCACAGGCAGACCCGTTCGAACTTTAGATCTAGCTGCTTTGTCAGGTGTCTTGCGACTTTAGCGCCGAGTGCTGCTGCCATAAGTTCCATTCTTGGTATGGTCAGTGTCTCTGGTCGTTTGATGGGGGCGACTTTGGATTTGCTGAAGATGAGGTGAGATACATCGCGCCCTTCAGCGCTGGTTTTTAAGTATGCTGCAGCAGCGTATGCAGACTGGGACGCATCGCAGAATATGTGAAGGCTGTGTGTTTCTGCAGACGGCAGCGAGCAGTACCGGGGAACTGTAAATGTGGACGCGACATCCATTTCTGTAGCCACAGTAGACCAGGCAACATGTATAGAGTTTGGGAGTGGATCATCCCAATCCAAGTTGAGTCTCCAGACTTCTTGAAGGATCAGCTTCGCTTTGACGACTACAGGCGCGTGGATGCCTAGAGGATCATAGAAGTGCGCAAGGGCTTGTAGTAGCTCGCGTTTCGAACGGACGAGCCGTTGGGACATCTGTGTGTCGGAGATATTCAAAGTGTCATGGCTGGTGTCCCATGTGGTCCCCAACACCTGCTGAAGTACACTGTCTGCTCTGTCGCCTTCCGGTAAAAGGTCCTTAAGTTCTTCCGAGTTGGTGCTCCATTCGCGTAAGTTCATGGAGGCTCGGGCAAAATTGGATTTCGCTGTGGTATAGTACTGCTGGCCAGCAGCAACATCAGACACGCCGCCTACTACGTTGTCAACATATGTGTTGGCAAGAATGTGGTGAGCTTGAGGAGACTCTATACGCGTTAGATGGTGTTGGAGTGTAGCCGCAAGAAGGAAAGGACTTGAGACTACACCGAAGGGAACTCTAGTGAAACGATAAGTGACTAGATTCTGGCCGCTGACAGGAGAATGGATGTCGCGTACCCAGAGGAAACGAGTCACGTCCCTGTCTTCTTCCGCGAGACTGACTTGTAAGAAGGCCTTCTCCACATCGCTGATGATGCCGATAGGAAATGTTCGGAAGCGAAGCAAGACTCCTGTGAGGTCAGGAAGGAGGACTGGTCCTCTGTGTAGGCAGTCATTGAGGCTGGGAGCATCGTGTGCAGACTTGGCTGATGCATCATACACCAATCTTAACTTGGTAGTCGTGCTGGTTGTTTTGAACACACCGTGATGTGGCAGGTAGTGGAGCTTAGAGTCTGAGTACCTAGGTGCTTCTTCGATGACTCCAGACTGGGCCTGTTGCTCAATGACTTCATGATACTTCTCTAGCTGGCGGTGATCTGTGGAGAGTCGCTTTTAAAGGGACTGCAGTCGACCGAAGGCTAAACCATAGTTGTCGGGCAGAGGCGGCGCACAGTCTCTCTATGGCCACTTGACAACATATCTGTTGTCTTCAAATTGCACCGAATCCTTGAATGCTTGGTGTGCTCGGGCATCATCATCACGACAATCGTCTGGTTCCTGTATCTCATCGGCTGCCCAGAATTGGTGAAGATTAGCGTCAGGAACGATGGTGGACGTTTCGCTCGAGGAGAAGAAGCACGTCGCGTCCTTAGGGTCGTTACTCGAAGCTTTCCCGGTACACACATAGCCCAGTGTCGATTGCAGTAAGATGAGACCATCTGGGAAGTTGAGGCGTTCGGATAGAATAAAGTCAAAATAATAGTCACTGCCAATAAGAAGGTCTACTGTGACCCACTCCTGGTTACTGGATAGCGGTTCCGCAAGAGGAAGATGACGCAGAGCAGGGTGACCTGTGGCGTCGACGGGGTACTTCGCTATAGGGCTAGAGATGACTGGAACGACGCTCACGGATAATTTCTTCAGGGAGCCGTTGGACAGCCGAACCTCGACTTCGACGACGTCAAGCGTTTGATGTTTACGACTACACGCGCCAAAAGTGGCTGTGGACATGGACTCAGTGGCGACTGTAGGAAGATCAAGAGCAGAGCGAAGATCTGCAGTGATATACGACCGAGATGCACCCGTGTCGAAAAGGAGGCGGGCTGGCTTCACAAAGGAGTTGTGTCTAGCTTCTGTCAGCGCTGTTTGCAGGTTGACATTGCCCTCAGGCGAGATGAGCGCAGTGTCGGGTGAGAACGGTTCCGCATGGACGTTGAGCGCAGAGGTTGCCTGACCGAACTTGGTGACACATAAGCTGCGGTGATGTGGTCCGGAACAATAGTAACACTTGCGAGTGATAGTACAATCCCGAGCAGAATGTTCCTTGCGAAAACAGCGAAAGCATTGATCCTTGACACGTTCCTTTCTCTGTTCAACGGTACGATACTTCAAACATTCGTCCGAGAAGTGAGATTCTTTACAAAAATGACACTTAGGTTGGCGGTCGTTCAGCAGTGTTGCTCCGGATCGTTGGGAATTCTGGCTGGGTTTAGGCCTGGTCTGCGAGCTAGTCTGAGCACGGTCGGACTCTGAATGCACTGCGCCCTGTTCTTCGGCGACTTCCTTGGCCTTAACATATTCACTGAATGCCTGTCGCAGTGAACTGACTTTCCACTGAGTTGGTTTTCGCAGTTCAAGCTGCAGCACGGTGTGTTGAGGGAGCTTGTTTAGAATGAGTGAGACGAAGATGTCTTGACCAACGTCTTGGCCAAGTGCTGCGAGACTGCGCAGCTGTTCTTCGAGTTTGTCATGCAAGCTGCGCAGTGAGTGGGTCTTGTTAGACGCAGGTGGCAGATTCATCAAAGCAGTGTAGTGTGCGTGTATGGATTTCTGTTTGGATCCATAGCGTTCCTTTAGCACACCCCACACTACCCGATAATTGGCGTCTGTGATCTGATATCCTGCCACAGCTTCTTTAGCCGACCCCACCAGACACTCTCTCAAATAACTTAATTTCTGAACATCAGAAATGCGTGCGTTGTCATGGACAGTCGCAACAAACACATCAAAAAACTCTTGAGATTTCAAAACAGAACCATCGAACTTGGGCAGGTCCAGCTTGGGGAGTTTGACCTCAGGTGAGACAGCGTGGTTAGTGTGTGTAGTGGGTTGCGTCACGACTGCCGTGTTTCTTCTGTGACGGATGTGCAACTGCTTTAGAACGGATCTGAGGAAGCTGATGCGACGGTTACAATCTACACCTAACAGAAGCAATTTGTCTAAGTCAACCTCCGGAGATAACAGGGGTGAGCCCGAAGTTTCTACAAGAGTATCACACACCCCCTCAAAGACAATAACAGAGTCATTAAATTTATCAACAAATATACTTAACTCTTCCATTGTCGTCTCCAGATCGTCGTCATCAGACAACTTGCGCCAGTCGTCATACTGGAGACTTGCTTGCAAGTCTTGTTCCAAGACGCCCGCGTAAATGTGAGCTTCCCTCGACTTGCGTGCAGCGACGAACGACGATGCCGCTGGTGTTGACATCGCCTGAGACGGTTCGTCATCTTCTTCTTTGTAACTTTCCAGTGGAGATTCGTTCTCTCCAACCGGTTTCGACGGTGTTACAGCACCTTTCTTGTTCTTGCCTTTGCTCATCCTGGGTTTCGGCACCAGTTTTTCGCGTCGTTATCGTTACATAGACCGACGGACAAGATAATAATTTTAGACTCTGACGAGTATACTTGGTTGGGAGATTTATTGATTAGACTGAAAGACTGATTGTAGAAATACTTGGGTTCGTATAAATAATTCTCTGTATAAATACTTCTCTGGCTACTAGTAAATACTTCTCTGGATAAATACTGATCTGAGAGAGAAGCATACATTTGTAACTCTGAAACGAGTGGAAGCAAAATATATCTGTCTACGTGGACGAAGGAGCACCGAGTTTTTTCCTCGTGTGCTGACCTCGTTGCCATAGAAAATAAACATGGCGGTTGTACGCAAGAAAAAATCTCATGCGTAAAAAATACACAAAAATACGTAAAAATAAATAATTCGGAATCTCCGTCGTGAGATTCGCGACAGTCTTCTCCTGCAGGATCTGTTTGACATTGACATTATGCAGTAGGTCGGCATTGACCTGGTTTGGCAGCTATCGTTATAGTATCTGCCTGGTTGGATGTAGCAGGTTGGTGTTTGCTCGTCGTCCAGTCCGGAATTTTCTTGTAACTCACGGTGGAGTACGCGCAGGGTTTGTGATCATCCCTGTTCACTTCAATATTATCAAACACAACGTTCCCTTTGTCACTCATCTTATCCTGAGTACTGAATTTGCTGACAATATTGCACCATACTTGTCACAACCTACCGCCACTGCTGGCGGTGGCGACTGGTTCGTCAATAGCGGTGACCAGGCTGACTGACTAGCTTCGAGACAGCGGCCTCGTTGTCAATCCCGCGGCAGCCTAAAGGTTGATTTTATTCATCCAGCCTCAGCGCCATGTTGACGATGCCCTAGTGACTGTGTGTCATGGATTGCCTTGCCATCAGTGGTCATTGCCGTCCACCTTGATGCAGCCCTCAACAACTGGCTCAGCCCATGGGAGTCTCAAGTGGACAAAATTGTTGCCAAAGTAGCTCAGAAGATTGGTGCATCGTGGTGTAGGTGAGCACATAACTAGGACTTCCCAGCGTCTATTTGTCCAGGCTGCGATACTATGTGACATGCTGTACTGCACGTTCTTTTCAGCACTGCAAGGCCGGCAGCTGGACCGACTGCAGGGGCCGCGCACATGCAGGCCGCCTGTTGCCAGTGCAGCATTCTGGAACGTTCCTTCCTTCTGAGATCCGTGGAATAATAACTTTCTTTGCTTCAAAGCAAGTTGCTTACCTTTCTGTTGTGCTCCCAGTGTCCTTACAACAATAACCTACAGCAATGTTTTATTTTCCTTTCCATTCCCCAACCAATGAATACTACGATGTCGATTCTATTTCTTCATACTTTGGTGTGTGCCCGCGCACGCACGTGTGTGTGTATACCTCACTCGCCACTCGAAGTTCTGTTCCCCATCACTGGAACACTGCCTGTTCTTTCAGGACCTGCCATCATCTGCGGATGGGCATTCAATAATTGTATTGTGTGTGTGTGTTTCATTCAGAATCAGATCCGCTATCATTGCTATTAGAGAAAATCTGTGGGTTCACATCCAGTGCATTTTTAGATCTGCGTGCTTTTCTCGCCACGGGCGCATACATGGGGCATTGTGTGTGTGTGCGTCTGTGTGTATGGGGATATTGTCTGTATCGGCTTTCGGTACTAATGTTCAGGTCTGTGCTTGCATGTGTGAACATGAAATTGTTCGGTTCTGTGCATGCTATTGCTATGTTGTATATTATTGTATGTATGTGTGCATTTCCACGAACAGTGTAGACGAGCGTGGAGAGTGCATTCATCCCTCATCAACCACTTCCCCTTGGGCTTACGAGAGTTTTTTCTGCATACCTCTCTGATACTGTATTGATGCCGGCACCTGTACCTCGATGTGTTCCTCTATCTGCAGTCGCCTTTAACCTTCGGTCAAGTTAACGTTTATTGTGCTCTATTTATCGTGCGAATCAAAATAAACAATAATAACACAAGTCGTGCTAGAGTGACGACATGTGCGTGTAGTAGGGTTGATGCGATGGGACGTTATAATTAGGTGGAACAGAACACACATTGGGCAGATTGATTGGGCATCATTGATTGTGCTCAGTCTAAACAGTGAACATAATAATTATCTCCAGTGACAGACTGTAGCGGCTAGCCTCCAATAGGTAGCTGGCACTAGTCGCTACTGCTTGTTTGACAGGTGCCGCCAGAACCCCTGTTGTGTCATGCTATAGATGCACATGCCCTGTTCTGGGGCATACTGAGGTACTTTGATTTTGTTGACTGCATGTAGACAGCATCCAATAGTAGTACTCGTAGACCTTGGCTCTTTGTAGGTCAACCACCATCGCATGGATCGATCGGTGACTATGCACTTGGAGGTTGGAATAGCCCGCGCTGAACAGATCTTGCCATGGCCCAGGGAGTGAACTCGCTTACTCGACTATCCCGGTTTTAGTTAACCAGCATGAGTGGTGCAATGTGTCCATACCATGTTGCGAGCTCACAGTTGTTTGGGCAGGTTTTGAGCTGCACCACGAAACAAAGCGAAATAACGGCGTGACTGTAGAGCAAGGAAGCGGCGAGACGGCACTTCCAGGACGAGACAGGCAGTAGAGATGTGTTCACAGCACGAGCAACCTCTCAGACCCTGCCGGTACTCCACAGTTACAAGAAAATGTCGGACTGGACGACGCGCCAATGCAAACCTGCTACATCCACCCAGGCAGATAGCTGCCAAACCAGGCCAATGTCGACCCACTGCATACCGGTATGTCAATGTCAAACAGATCCTGCAGGAGAAGACTGGGATGATATTGGCGTCCAGTGTACGGTCACCAGTCACATTTCCTGCGTCTTTTGCAGCATACAGGATAGACTCATCACTGTAAAGTCCACTACTTCGTGATTTTTATTTGTAGAATACATGACGGGCGTATTCAGTGTGCCTCGCAGGACTGCGAGATGCTGCAGAAGACCAGTTTCGACCTTTCTGGACCGCCATTCACCGACGGTGGGCTACACGATGCTGGAGGAACTAGATTCCAGTGAAAACCCAAGATTCCTTTGCTCCTGGACGCTCCGACGTGTTGTGATATCTGCCAGGTGCGCAGTAACTAGTATCTTCATCGCTATAGCGAGGACGACGCCGATCGGCAAACTCTCGCTCACAGCCATCACCAGCCTCTCAAAACCATCACTTGGCATCCCCCAGAGGTATAGGAGAAAGCCAAAACAGCTCTCAACAAATAAAAGCTAAGGACGATGGAAAGGGAGCATGTCAAAAAGAAGACGAACAGTATGAAGTTCAAATGGGTTTGAACACTCGTTCCACCAACTATACCACTTTCAATAAATCGTGACGCCATTTTGTTTTAACACGCATACGGTCCATTACGTATGAAAATAACGTGTGAACTGCACGGAATTTTCATACGTAAAAATCAGAGCTGTACGGTTTCGCTCTACGTGATTTCTCCACGACTGATCAACATGCGTTGTTGCTTTGGAGACGCGTTGGCTGCATGCGACCACCGCATGCACCATGAACCGAAACCGCGTTTTCCATGATATTTTGCACGTGGTGTACGGTGTGTGTACCTTGTGTTTCGCGCGGCTTGAATGTTGCCATGGACAAATGCGGAAAATGCGAAAAAATATTTCGAAAAGTTCTACGGAGGACCCAACGTAGGAAATAGCTTTCCTACGGAAATCCGTAGAGAGATTTATGTATGAAAGTTGCCCTCGCTCCCCGGCGCGTACGACATACGGATTTTCATACGTAATTACGTAGAGCGAAACCTCCCTATTCATGTCCTGAAAATTACGTGTGTACCTAGTTTGTAAATTGTTGACATTATAATATATGTAAACCTCCGCCCTCAACCCTTGCTTTGCCTATGTGCAGATCCATGTAAGAGTGGCAGTGCCACCATGGTGTACAGGCCTATGGAAGGTGAAAATCCATGGAATTTGCGAACTGCTGACAATGAGACAGGCGAGTGTTACTGAGGCGATGGAGTCATTCCTGCATGTTATCAGGACACAGTTACACAAGGCATCAGGTTTTGGAAATCTGCTACGCCAGGAAGTGTGCCAGCTGAAGGCATGCAATGGTGCTGGCATTTCGCAAGCATGGCAACAAGTGCTCTCCAGCATCTCAACAGCTTTTTCCCAAAGTGAAGCTCTATATAAGACACAATGTTACGACACAGCTGTGCCAAAGCCTAGAGTGTTCATTTGCGGCTGTGGCAGGGACTTCAGCGTCGGCCCAATGATCTAACTCGCCACAGGAAATACTGCAACTCCTGATGCTATCATTGCACAGAGCAATGGGCATCCAAAGGTCCAAAGGTGTATGTGTGTTGTGCATTGGTGGTCGATTCACATGGCTTTGCCAGTTGTGTGGATTATACAGTTATCTGGTGCAAGTCTTGATCTGTCTCATTCAGATCTTGTTCGCTATCGTTGCTATAAGAGAAAATCTGTGGGTGCACATCCAGTGCATTTGCAGACTTGCGTTCTTCTCTTGCGACGGGCGTATGCAGGGTATGTGTGCGCGTGCGTGTGTGTGTGTGCTTCTGTGATAAGTGGATCAAGCAGTATACAGGGTATTCACGGGTATTCGCCTTGAGTGCATTTGCCGATAGTGTGTCTTTCTTCGCGGAGAACTTTGCTCAGTCGGTCAGGCGACTCGGCCTTACGTTTCCTGAAGGCAATGTGTTCAGAACACAGTTACTTCAAGTATGAACAGCTATGAACAGTTAAGAAATGACAAATATTGTGTGTAGTTCATGGACCATAATGTGAAACACTTTGAATGCAGAAGAATGAGGATAGTGGCATCAAATGCTGCATGGATTCTGTTTGATATGCTACTTTTTTTCCTTCCATGGAAAGGTGAGTGCATCATCGATCTTCATCTCGAAACTTCACACAAACCGAGAATGGAACTTGGACAACATGAAGGGGCCATGGGCATGGTTTGTTTAGTGGAGAACTATTCGAAAACAGGGTGTCATTCGCACTTACTCAATTCAAATTTGAGTACATTTCGTGAATAACTTACCTTGACATTCCGTAGTCTCCAAAGCAGTGAACTTCCCAAAAAAAAAAGCCACGGCTCAACCTAAGGTAATGCGTGGTACGTATCAGAAACAACCAGCTTTCGCTCTGGAGACCCAGAATAGGCCTCGAAGCATAGCAAAAACAATTGAGAAAAAGAAGATGACGACGACGTTTCAATCACGCATCAAATTTCGCGGGTCGAGTGCAGCAATCCTCGGATCGTGAAATGTGTGGCGTGTCGCCTCCCGGTATTTTACGACTCCCTGGTCTGTAGCTTAGTGGCCTCACATTTTGCTGATAAAATTAATATTGCGTCAGGTGCATGTGCACTCTATCTACCGGTATTGCAGATGCTGGTGTCGTGAAAACCCACGACTCACACAGTCGCTTCCTGTACAGAAAAATTGTACTCGTATTATCCAGAGTATATACGAGTGCTATATAATCTGGATACTGTACTATTGTAGTCCATTCTTTGGAAACTGCCACCCTAACACACCTCAGACCTCAGACATGCCCATCGCGGGAGCGATGATAGCGAACAGCTATGTTTTAGACATAGCAACTTGTGCTGGGATTACACCATTCAACAGCTTGCAAGGCTGATGAATTGACCGCCACTATTTTTAGCCTGGTATCCACCACACAGCTGTTTGAAGTGACTTTTTCTGGCCAGTGAATCCCTATTTTTCATTTTTCCATTTTTTTCTTTTTCTTTTTTTCTTTTTTTTTTCTTTTTCTACACACACACCACACCACATACTCCGGCATACACTGGCTGTTGGTAACCACCCAGGAGAATGAAAGAAAAGTCAGGAAGAGTCTGAGAAAGAGAAGAAAGACGTGTGTGACCATAATCGTCGGGAATTGAACCCGCAACCTATCGATTGGAAATCGCTGCACATACCACTGCACCATATGGGACACACACACACACACACACACACACACACACACACACACATACGCACATAGCACAGAGCGTGCCGTGAGTCTCAACATGGTGAACAACGCTGCTCCAGAACTAACGTTACTTCCAATCTTGCATCGGTGTTGTGGGTGCCAAGAAACAGTAAGTGGCTCTCGCAAAACTCAAACTCATACTGGCAACTATAATCAGATAAAAATAGAACAAATGGACAACTTGAGGAAGAAGCCTTTATTACCTATGATATCAATGTGTAGAAAGTATGTTGATAATTGATATCCCTCCAAATCCCAGTTAAAATACTGCAACCTGCTTCAGTGCGATCTGGGTAGTCCAGCTCAATAGGACCAATTGAGGATTGGAGTAATACAATGACTTGTAATAGCCGCGCTGACCAAAGCTGTCAGAGAGAATGTGGGGCACACGCGTGTTGGCAATATTCGGATCTACAGCTGGCTCTTGTACCGGAAGAGTCGGTCTTGTAATGTTTCTGTATAGTAATAGTGTGCAGCAGCAGCCCAGGACCGGCCACAGGTAATACGTGTGCATGACGGCTGCCCTGCACAATAAACAGAAAAAATAGAAAGATCTCTGGTGCCTGCAGAGCTTGAGCTCCCCCCCCCCCCCACACACACACACACACATGAACCCCCCCCCCCCCCATCCCGCACACACGCATACACACACACACACACACACATGGTTCATGAATCCGCCCAGTCCACATTCCTTCTCCGTTTCTCTCCGTTTTTCTTTCCTTTCAGTCGCATCTTCCTCTCTGCTCTGTTTTTTTTCTCTTTTCGTTCGCCCTCTTGATATTTGTACTTTGTACTGTTGAGGCAACGAACTGAAATAATAAAAACCAAACCAAACCAAACCAACACACATACACCTGTGGCCCTTACTGGCGAATATTGCTCCCCTACTCCTCGTCCTCTTCCTCTCCCTTCCTACCCCCCCCCCCCCCGCATTCATCATCTGAAGAAAGAGTACAAAACTCAATAATTTCTTCCCCATCTAAAGCTGCATAAAGCGAAGTGAATTATTATTTTTTTTGCCATTGTGACTCATCGGATAACCTATCCTCCTATGGCAGTCTAAGTGCCGTCAGCGAATCACAAGAATGATTTTGTGTTCCATCCGGTCTGTATGACAAGCAGTACTGGTGTCTGCTGGGAAAGCCCACAGGGTGCGTCAACTGAATGATGTCCGGCTATTGATCCTGTTTATATTGTCACCAGCTGCGTTTACCGGTAATTGGCCTTGATCAGTATTTCTGCTAAATTCTATTCCTTTTTCACTTTTAGATTGCCCGGCTTTTCAATCACATTTCTCTCTCCACTTTTCCAGACAACTCCCCATATAGGTATCTAGTCATCTTTGGAGAATCCTTCAAATAAAATTTGATCAATTTCTTTGGAGTATAAACAACGTGCTGTAAAATTTAGAAGAAGGACACAGTTCAGGTTCCTGAGATTTGTATCCTTCTTCAAAGTATAATTTTAAATATAAATGAATAAATGAATGGATGGACTCGGATGGAGAGCCAAGGATAAATTTATAGAAAAGTAAAAAGGACCGAGGAACTACAAGTTACGCTATAATGTCCCACTAACACCACCAGTGCGTGCAATGTTATCTCGTGAGCTGAGTGTCAAGTAACTGGTGGTGTTAATGGACATTATAGCGTAACTTGTAGTCGCTTGGTCCTTTTTTCTTTTCTATAAAATGAATGAATCTCCGCTGTAAACTCTGGTAAAGTAGTAGTATGACTGTACCAGTAGGTATCTGCCGCTAGGGTTTACCGGGTGTTAGCGGCCGTCGTGAGTTCCCTTCCGGAACGGACACGATAATTTACTTATTTTATTTTATTTTTACCAGTAGGTAGAGCATGTACGTGTACTTCTGTGGACATTAAAATCCCATAAGATTGCTGTGGACCGGAGCCCTTACTGCTTTTAGTGCGTATGTGCACTGTAGTTTACGGACAAACTGCAAACATGGAGCAGCAGTGCTCGGCGCTCGTGGCCGCAAGGTCAGCGCCCCGTGGCCATTTGACTTCTCAACGGTTATTAATGTCGGCTACAGTGCATGGTTGTACACATGTACATGGGCTGTAGATCACAGAATGTGATGTTGGACTATCAGAGAACAGGCCACTGCTACAGCTGTAGATGTAGAGCCAGCCTGTCACCCAACGCAAAGTGTTATGACTGTATCAATGCTGCCATGAGTACGTGTGTGTATGCATGTGTGTGTGTGTGTGTGTGTGTGTGTGTGTGTGTGTGTGTGTGTGTGTGTGTGTGCGTGCATGTGTGTGTGCATGTGTGTGTTCATGTGTGTGTGTGTGCCCACAACCCTAAAAGTACAAACTTCATTGACTACCGCGTCAAAGTTTTCATCTATGCTGTCAGACCGCACTGGCCTATCTGCGCTCTGCATGTTATCAGCAGCAAGATATGTACTCACTGCTTGTGATAAAAGTACTCCTGTACAACCTGTGACCATTCAGTATGCCCTCGGAGAAAAGCAATACTGCGTATAACTATAAGTCTCGGAATTTTGATGCGCAGTGGGCACAGCTTTGGAGCTACACGCACCAGACTGTTGTAGTCATGCAGTCAACTTCGCTAATAACGACTGCGGATATAACGACAATTTGCGAATAGCGACAGAATTTCTATGCCCAGAGCAAAGTCTCATCTAACGGCAATACATAATAATGTCACTTGGCGAAACAGGACACTTTTCTGATGCCCGGCGCCGAGTGTCGCTATACGCAAAGTTGACTGTTGTTACCGGTACAGTGAAACCTATCCAAGACGACCGCTCAAGGGACCTTCAAAACCTGATCTCTCTTACCAGGCAGTCTCCTTATCCAGGGTCATTCGACTGGAAATAGCATGCCTTGGTGCTTGGTTCAGTGGTATTCTAGGACAGGTGGTCGCCGTATCCGAGTGGTCGTCTTGACAGGTTTTACCAGTACTAGTCAACTTCGCTTATAACGACACTCGGCGGGGCGTCAAAAAAGTGTCCTTATTAAGAAGTGTCGTTATAACGGAAGACTCATTATATGTATTACAGTTGGAAAGGACTTTGCTCTGGGCATGGAAATTCTGTCGTTATTCGCGAATTGTCGTTATATCCGCAGTCGTTATAAACGAAGTTCACTGTGCTAGTCAAGCACCTTGATCACAGTGTGTAGACGTGTGCTTTGAAAAGGACAAAACCAGCACAAGCAATAAAATGATGACTCACAGCTAGACTTACACTCAGTATGGAGTACATATGGTCAGGCGTTGTTTCACATACAAGAAGTAAGCATACCCACTTGTGGCGAACGCTGTGTCAGGAGTATGAAATGCCCCAGTCCAAGAAGTTCCCTCTCCCTTAGAGACGGAAAACCCTAGCGTTTCTGCAAAGCGTCTCATGCAGTCTATCATTATGCCAGCAGGCAACTGGTAAGCCCTCTCCTGGCAAGCGTAGGAGGCTTCTGCAAAAGTGCGACCAACGTCGCTAGCGATGTAGTAGAGCTTTCTGCCTCCAGGACATTTGTAAACTGAGCAGTGGCAAAACATCACAGTTTGCACAACAAAACAAAAAGGAATTCGACAATCGCAGTATCAACGGTGCAGTGCATTCGAGTGCATCGAACACAAGCACATGCACACATACACCCTGCTATGCGTGTCATAGCCTACTCTCTCCCCGCCCCCCCCCCCCCCCTCCACCATCCCTACATCATACCATCCACTAGTACACGACATACACGTGTCACCTATCCGCATACAACCCCTACATAGCCATCACTGCTGTGGCGCCCTGGCCCATAGGATCCAAAGCACGCCCATATTGACACAGTCCTTTAAGTGGGCAGACTGGTCGTAACATCCAGGAAAAGTCGAATTTTTAAATTCATATCGAGTGCTACATCAGGTGAAAGAGCATGAATAGCTGCAAAATCTCTGAAAATTTGTCTCGATCTGGCCCGCCGTTCAAGAGTTATGGCCAAAAATGTGCCCTTGCAAGGAAATATTTTTTTGTTGCACGCTGTCATTTGTTGGCGGCACTGTATTTCAATCTGAGCAGACCGCGTGCAACTTGTCGTATCATGGAAACACGCGAATGTGTGCAGAATTTTGCTCCAAGTCCAAAAATCACGTTAAAAAAACCACGTATTGGGCTGCACGACTTTTGCCAGCACCCTCGTGACGTTGCAAATATGTGGCTTGATTATTGTAGTTGACGTTGATTTAGTGACTTTGGCAAGTTTGAGTCGTGTCAAGAAGTCAGGTAGGATTCAGTACTAGGCAGTAGTGGAACGTGAGTGGTAGTCTTTGCCGGATTGTGAGGGTATCCTGGATTTTGTGTGCAGCGCTGTGGAAATGGCTTGCTGTGGAGGTCCCAGCACTGGATGTTGTATCAAAGGTACGGCCTCGTAGCACGCCCTGAACCTCAAAAATCAAAAATTGACTTGGGTCTGTGGGAGTCTGTGAGAGAACGCCCACTCGTTTCGTTGTGACAGATTGCAGGGCCACGTTGGGGGGCCCTACCCCACCACCCATGGCTGCTTCTGGACTTGTTTTAGGTTTGGGTCCCGCGCACGGAGAGAATGGGCACGAAAATGTGAAAAAATGAAAATGAATTTTGTTGGCTCCTGGGTGGCTCGCACACCGTGGCATTATGCCGGAAATTTGAGTTTTTCCGGCCTGGAAAGTCTGTCAGTGAGGCGGAAGAACTTGTTAATCATGTTCTGAGGGCCAGCATAGTGGCAGGAGTGTGTGGTCAAAATTTCACTCAAATCCATTGAGAGACACCAAAGTTACGGTCAATTGAATGCCATATGAATTTTACGACCAGGCTGCTACCTTTTTAGGTAGCAGCCAACCCATAAATTTCATATGGCGCTCAATTGACCGTAACTTTGGTGTCTCTCAATGTATTAGAGTGAAATTTTGACTACACACTTCTGCCACTATGCTGGCCCTCTGGACATGATTTTTAAAAGTTCTTGCGCCTCACTGACAGACTTTCCAGGCCGGAAAAACTCAAAATTCCGGCATAGTGCCACGGTGTGCGAGCCACCCTGGAGCCAAACAAATGCATTTAAAATATTTTTTCACATTTTCGTGCCCATTCTGTCCGTGCGCGAGATCCAAACCTAAAACAAGTCCAGAAGCAGCCATGGTGGTGGGGTAGGGCCCCTCAACGTGGCCCTGCAATCTGTCACAACGGAACGAGTGGGCGTTCTCTCACAGACTCCTACAGACCCAAGTCAATTTTTGAATTCTTTTAGGTTTAGGGTGTGCTACGAGGTCGTACCTTTGATACAACATCCAGTGCTGGGACCTCTACAGCAAGCCATTTCCACAGCGCTGCACACCAAATCCAGGAGACCCTCACAAATCGGCAAAGATTGCCACTCACGTTCCACTACTGCCTAGTACTGAATCCTACCTGGCTTCTTGACACGACTCAAACTTACCAAAGTTACTAAATCAACGTCAACTACAATAATCAAGCCACCTATCTGCAACGTCAAGAGGGTGCTGGCAAAGGTCCTGCAGCCCAATACGTGTTTTTTTAGTAATTTTTTGGACTTTTTTGGACTTGGAGCAAAATTCTGCACACTTTCGCGTGTTTCCATGATACGACAAGTTGCGCACGGTCTGCTCAGATTCAAATACAGTGCTGCCAACAAATTTGAGCGTGCAACAAAAACATCTTTCCTTGCAAGGGCACATTTTCGGCCATAACTCTTGAACGGCTGGTCAGATCGGGACCCAATTTTCAGACAATTTGCAGCTATTCATGCTCTTTCAACTGACGTAGAACTCAATATGAATTTACAAATTCGATTTTTCAGCGAATTTTTGGGTAGTCTGCCACCTAAACTAGCTCTCTCTCTCTCTCTCTCCGTCTCTCTCTCTCTCTCTCTCTGTCTCTCCCTCTGTCTCTCCCTCTGTCTGTCCCTCTCTCTCTTTCCCTCTATCTCTCTCTCTCTCTCTCTCTCACTCTCTGCCTCTCTCTCTCTCTCTCTCTCCCTGTCTCTTACTCTCTCTCTCTCACTCTGTCTCTCTCTCTCTCTTTCTCTCTCTGTCTCTCTCTCTCTCTCTCTGTCTCTCCTCTCTCTCTCTCTCTCTCTCTCTCTCTCTCTCTCTCTCTCTCTCTCTCTCTCTCTCTCTCTCTCTCTCTCTCTCTCTCTCTCTCACACACTCTCTCTCTCTCTCTCTGTCTCTCTCTCTCTCTCCATCAAACCGAAAATTCAAATGAGCTTGACTTCATCTCGTTTTGCAAGGCGGGAGAGAAGCCAGTTCGCGTTCAGCCCAGGCGAAAGTTGGTTACGACTGATCTCCTGTCAGCGGCCTCAGACTGGAAACTTCTTGTCGACTTAGTTAGTGCAAAGATTTCGTTCCCTAGCTGTGTTGCACTTACCACCCTAAGACCAGATATAGTTCTGTACTCTACGAGTCGTAGGATTGTATTCTGGTTGGAGTTGACAGTTTGTGCTGAGGACAGATTCAGTGTCAGTAACTCGCTGAAGGACAGGCGGTATGCGGATCTGGCCGATCAATGCCGAGCAAACGGGTGGCAGGTCGTTTCTTTTTCGGTTGAGGTAGGTGTGCGTGGTTTTGTAGTATCCCTGCCCGACCAATACAGAAGTAGTACGGAACTAATACGGAGCTTTGCCTGATGTATATTTAGTGTATCTCCGTATGTAAGCGTACGGCGTCTGCTGCATAAAAGCGGCTGCGCATTTCTGTTTTGAAGAAGATGAGATTTTGATAATAACGAGCTATTCAACCTCCAGGTGTGCACCGGAGAGAAAGCCAGTCATTTTGCCGTTTCTTCTTTCACTAATAATTATATCTCAGGTGTGTGCCTGAAAGAAGTAGAATAAAAGTAATTCTTGTTGATTTTACCGCGCCTACCACTCGGCTACCCATTACATTGAATCCCACCGCTGCCACCAATGTAATGGGTAGCCGAGTGGTAGGCGCGGTGAAATCAACAAGAATTACTTTTATTCTACTTCTTTCAGGTACACACCTGAGATATAATTATTAGTGAAAGAAGAAACGGCAAAATGACTGGCTTTCTCTCCGGTGCACACCTGGAGGTTGAATAGCTCGTTATTATCAAAATCTCATCTTCTTCAAAACAGAAATGCGCAGCCGCTTTTATGCAGCAGACGCCGTACGCTTACATACGGAGATACACTAAATATACATCAGGCAAAGCTCCGTATTAGTTCCGTACTACTTCCGTATTGGTCGGGCAGGGATACTACACCCTCCCTTCCTACAGATAATCACGCCCTCGTGATTTTCAAAAAATTAGTGAAGAGTTATGAACACAGCGTCAACCGGAAGATGGCAAATTCAGGGCTCACAGCATCACACAAAAGCGTGGGCGCCATTTTGGACAGGCCGCTGTCACACGAGCCAGCCAGCATGCCAGAATCGTGTACATGCGATCAGGCAGATATCTCTGAAAACTTGAAAGTGGGGTGCATTCAAAATGTTCATTTGTACCAATGCTTTTCCCTAGGCCTCTGAAACTCTAGGAACATACTCTCAATACCCATTGTAAGGATTTGTCCGAGAGTTTTTTGTTTTAATCGATACGGTTTGGCGTATATATGGAGCCAAAGTATCAGTTGGTGCAGGCGTAATTCTGATTTGGATTATTGTACTAAAATTGAAAAGTCTCTCGGAGAAGTTCTTCTAATTTTCCTACTGAAAATTTTAAGCTATTGGCCATCAAAATCGGGCCAGAGACGCGTACAAACGAACATTTCAAAGGCAACCCTATCTGCAGTGCAGCCGCGAGGAAGAACCGCGCGCGCTGCACTTGTTGTGAATGCGGAAACAACACTAGCAGCAAAGCAATTTTTTGAAATGTTTTTGCTACTCGCCTGGCGCTTCATCGCTGTGTCCTCCAGGAGTTATCAAGGCTATGGCAGACCGAAGAAATACATGGCCAGCACAACGGCGAAGCCATTGGACTTGTTCTCTTGCAACGAAACGGAGTGGCGAATCAAATAATTCACAACTCCACATCGTCACCACTGCGCTACACGGCTCTTCGCAGACCAGCCGTATATTTACGTTTACACAACAGGACTTCACGGCGGAGAAACTAAAACTAGAACACGACGTGAGTCATTGCTCCATGCCGTCAAGGAATGCTAGTCCTTTCCCTCTAGCTCTCCCGTCACCCGCGCCTGTGCATCAGCGGCGTAGCTGCCCGGCTGTAGATGTTGAACTCTTTCGTCAACGACTGCAGGATTCTGCTCGGGGCTACTTTTCGCAGGACTCCGTGTGCGGACAGTCTGAATGAAGCCTTCGGCCGACAAGGCCAACACTGCTCGCGAAATATTCCACTTGGAAGGAAACAAGAACTACCGAAATGAAATAGAGATAGTGAGACAGTCTCCGGCCATCGCCTTCACCTTTCACGACTCAGTCCTTGTCACTGCAACTAAGCCCAAGCAAGTCAAAATCTCCTTGCGCGACTGCGTTCTACGCCTGCGCTTAGCGGTCACGCGAGTTCGTTTCTATGGTGATCAGATCCAAGATGTCCTCCCACGTAATCGAGGTTTTGGCATAGTTGCTGTGAGCCCTGAAATTATATCGGAAATGATAACGTTTAGAGTAGACAGAAGAAATGAACTGATAACAAATCATAAAGTAGAAGCACACCAGGTTCACACGATCTCACGGGGTCAAAAGGGGAAAGAACTGTCCTCCAAATAGGACCTGAAACCACAGCACTCTTGCTGCACTACGCTGGCACAACCCGCCAGGAACATCGTAGTTCAAAAATCGAACTGAATACACTATAACTATAAGGGGCGTTGTCACACACATTGTCCCACGTTAGCTGGGTAAACCGTGGCTCACCATGATCAGACGCCTACCAAACTAAACTGGATTCACACACTCGCATAAAGGAAGACTGAAGAGAACAGGGAGACTGAAGGAAGACAGGAAAGAAAATGCCATACCTGGAATCAGCGTTAGTAACCACGGCGGCGGCTGGAGCTACGGCGGAGGGCGAGCGAGGTTTTATCTTCATCTTCGTTGAGCCGGTCACTCAGAGCGGCTAGCTCGGCGTTAGACAAATAACCTCCCTCCTCGTCTTGAATCATGGTCTTCACATTGTCGACAGCATCGCTTTGCGCGACGTAAAGAGTGATGGTCTAGCCAGGAAGAGTGTTGGCGAAAATCTGCATTCCACCACGGAGGCGAAGTACCAAAGTGAAGAGTGGGCTCCTGCTTCCGACTGCGTGCCGGCGAAAATCAAACGCTGCTGGTCTTGGGGAATACCCTCCCTTGATTCGTCGCAGGGAGCTGCAGCGGGTTGAGCCATGGGGGTCTGGGGTCAAATCACGTTGTTTTATTTAAAACTACACCGCTGCCACCAATGTAATGGGTAGCCGAGTGGTAGGCGCGGTGAAATCAACAAGAATTACTTTTATTCTACTTCTTTCAGGTACACACCTGAGATATAATTATTAGTGAAAGAAGAAACGGCAAAATGACTGGCTTTCTCTCCGGTGCACACCTGGAGGTTGAATAACTCGTTATTATCAAAATCTCATCTTCTTCAAAACAGAAATGCGCAGCCGCTTTTATGCAGCAGACGCCGTACGCTTACATACGGAGATACACTAAATATACATCAGGCAAAGCTCCGTATTAGTTCCGTACTACTTCCGTATTGGTCGGGCAGGGATACTACAGTTTCATCCCGGACTCTCTTCGGAGGGCTCTGAAAGCGCTTGGGTTTTCTAATCAAAGAATGCAATTTATTTGTAACTTGTGCAGTAAGACGTCTCTGCGAAGCAGCTACATCATCTGGTTGCGACGTCGACAAAAACACTGGTCGGAAGATCCACTTTTCTGAGGTACTGTATGTGGGGCTCCGTTTATTGAGGTGCGTTGAAATTTATTCTCTTTATCTTATTATTTCTTTTCTATAATTTCCCCATATGAGTTCCTATCAGTTGCTGTGAACACCTTGAGTGGAGAGCGCTTGCTCGAGCGTTGAACCGGGTTCTTAATCCACCATACCCAGTTCGCAAGGCTGGGCGGGGTTGTGAGCAGGCTTTCATTTCATCTTTTCTTATTATTTCTTATTATTTCTGCTTTTCATCTCATTACCAAAATTCTGCGCATTTTTTCTCCATCTGCGTATAAAACCTAGACTGACAACCTGCTTGTTAAATCATGCACCTGCTTTCAGGGGTAAAAACCCTGTTGTAGAGGTCTCAGTCCTCATTTGTTAGACTTACCTGTCTTTACAAATGTAACTTACTCTCACTCTCTCTCTCTCTCTCTCTCTCACTCTCTCACTCTATTTCTCTCACTCTCTCCTATCTCTCTCTCTCTCTCTCTCTCTCTCTCTCTCTCTCTCTTCTCTCTCTCTCTCTCTCTCTCTCTCTCTCTCTCTCTCTCTCTCTCTCTCTCTCTCTCTCTCTCTCTCTCTCTCTCTCTCTCTCTCTCTCTCTCTCTCTCTCTCTCTCTCTCTCTCTCTCTCTCTCTCTCTCTCTCTCTCTCTCTCTCTCTCTCTCTCTCTCTCTCTCTCTCTCTCTCTCTCTCTCTGTCGGTCTCTCTCTCTCTCACTCTCTCTCTCTCTCCCTCTCACTCTCTTTCTCTCTCTCTGTCTCTCTCTGTCTCTCTCTGTCTCACTCACTCTCTCTCTCTCTTTCTCTCTCTCTCTCTCTCTCTCTCTCTCTTCTCTCTCTCTCTCTCTCTCTCTCTATCTATCTATCTATCTATCTCTCTCTCTCTCTCTCTCTCTCTCTCTCTCTCTCTCTGTCTCTCTCTGTCTCTCTGCCTCTCTCTCTGCCTCTCTCTCTTTCTCTCTCTCTCTCTCTCTCTCTCTCTCTCTCTCTCTCTCTCTCTCTCTCTCTCTCTCTCTCTCTCTCTCTCTCTCTCTCTCTCTCTCTGTCTCTGTCTCTCTCTCTCTCTCTCTCTCTCTCTCTCTTTGTCTCTCTCTCTCTCTCTCTCTTTGTCTCTCTCTCTCTCTCTCTCTCTCTCTGTCTCTCTCTCTCTCTCTCTCTGTCTCTCTCTCTCTCTGTCTCTCTCCCTCTCTCTGTCTCTCTCTTTCTCTCTCTCGCTGTCTCTCTCTCTCTCGTCCTGACTGTAGTCTTCCGTTAAGACCCCCCCCTGCACCCCCCCCCCCCACAGTTATGTCGTCCCTATCCACCTAAATTCCTCCATCAACAAATTTAAACAAGAGCCACTTACTTGCATCTGGTCCTAGCTTGATAACGTTGCGGTTCACAATGTATTCTAAAGAGGAAATCAAAAGAAGGGAATCATTTGGAATGGCCATAAGAATGTGAGATTTTTCATTAGCATCAACAAGAGTACATAAAAACCGGTTTTCATGTACTCTTGGCATCAGCGATGGCACTCCAATGCCTCCAATGCCACCATAATGTAATGCGTATGAAAAGCGTGAGCTGGTCACAGATTTACAACATACGTGATGCATCCAACATAACCGGTGTTCGGTTATCCGGTCCCCTCGCCTATCCGGATATTTTTTTGTGGAAAGCGGATGTGTGTGGTCAGGCGAGGTCTGACTGTACTACCAAGAGTAGATAAACAAGAGTGTGCAACTCCGGATCTCTCCTGCACAATCTGCAGATACCCCCGCCCACGGCGGAATTTTTTGTTGACGTCACCTTTTTTCAGAGAAACGCGGACTTTGCCGCAGAGCAGTGTGAGAGCACGTGCTGGGCACAGACATGTAGTGTAAAGCCCGGCCAAGTGCACGAGGGAAACCTCTCCAAAAGGCTCGCAGCGCGTGCGTCGTCGAAAAGATTACGTCAACAAAAAATTCCGCCGTGGGCCAACCCATCCGCGAGTTGCACACTCTTGTTTATCTACTCTTGGTACTACTCTAAAGTACGGCGAGAGTGCCCCACCAACTCGGTTTTTCGTGGTGGTGCTGTGGAAGTGGTGTCCTATCTGAAAACCATACGACACATACCTTGTACACACATTGCTAGCTGTACAGTCAATCCGTACTCAGTTTACCTTTGAGCTCCACACAAGAACATGCTTATCGTAACCTTAGTACACTAAGGTTCTCACACCGTACAAACTTTGTTGCACTCCGTCATATTATTTTCCTTTCCCTGGCTGTAAAATCAAGGTGGGGGCGCTCTCGCGGCACTTTACGGTAGAGGCTGCATGGTACAGGTGTCCAGTTCATTGTTCATCTTCTACACATATGTGGGCTGAAATTTCAAGAAGAGCAATATGTGTATCTAAATTCCATATGCAATGCTGTAGACAGCAAGCTGTTTTGGCCATACAGGTCGTCCCTCGTTTATACAATCTCTGGGACTTGAAAAATGTTATGTATTAGCGGGGTTTATGTACTAAACGAAAGTCTGCACAACTTGGTTGTGTAACAGAATTTTTCACTTTTTTCAATTTTTCTGAGTGTTTCTTGCTACCGTGAGATGCTTGGATGTGAGAGGTTTGGATATGAGAGGTTTGGATATGAGAGGTGTGTGGATATGAGAGGTGTGTGGATATGAGAGGTATGTGTGCGGATATGAGAAGCGTGTGGATATGAGAGGTCTGGATATGACAAGTCTGGATACGAGAGCTGTGCATTTCATGAGAGGTGTGTGTGTGTGTGGATAAGAGAGGTGTGTGTGTGTGTGGATAAGAGAGGTGTGTGTGATGAGACGTGTGTGTGTGTGGATATGAGAGGTGTGTGGATAGGGGAGGTATGTGGATATGGTAGGTGTGTGGCTATGAGAGGTGTGTGGATATGAGAGGTGTGTGGATCTGAGAGGTGTGTGTGGGTTAGAGGCTCTACGGTACTTACGATAGTAATCTGGCAAACAGACAATACCATTCACGGAGTTTTGTTGGACGTGGCGAAGCGGCACAGACCAGAAGTCGCTTGGAGATTTCCTGAACTGCGCAACATAGCTCTTATCAATCCATATAGGATTGGGGAGCGTATGGCCCAGGCACTTACTGGCCTCATCGGTAAACTGTATTCTGGTGAAGGACGCAGTTGCTAGTCGCATATTGAGCCGTCTGCATGCTTTCTGAGCGCCAGCGTGTGTACTGGGTTTCTGGCTGTAATAACTCGTAACTCCTGCACAAGTACTGGCCTCTAAGATAATAAAAAAGAGATTCAAAAAGGGTTGAACAATAGGGGTCACTGCCACGCAGACGGGAGAGAAGGAACTATGCTGAACATACTGCATCACTTTGTGACTTCACATGGCTCTGGCATGGCTTGGGGGAAGAAGGCACTGGCCCGGCAGAACCAGTCCGGTTGGTCAGGCCATGGTCGGACCAACGTTTTGGCGACCAACACGTCTTTACTGCTGAGGAGGTCCTGTGTACCTGCCCTGGCAGAGACAAACTGTTTGAAAGACTGCGGTATGGCCGGACCAAACGAAAACTGCTTTCGCAGGTCCTGTAAAGATAACAATCATTTAGACTATGTCAAGTTGACGGGGAAAGCGTCAGTTCCAGTGATAGGAACAAACTATGTTTGGCATGTTTATTCTCTTGCCGTAGTCCCTAGCACTATTTCTTATCTCTATTTCTGCATGTCTCACTCCCACCGACTGGACAATAGCCAGTTGGAGAAGAAAAAACTAGAAAGAAATTTAATTGATGTAATTCTTACTCAATTGCCGGCATTCTGGAAGATTGTAGAACTGATATCCTCCACTCGGCAGTTTCCAGTATGGCAAAAGTCCATCGTCAGCCACGCAGGTAGCGCCTGGCTTGCAGTATGAATAGTATTTCGCCTTGCACTGGAATCTGAACTGCGGTCCAGTGCTCGCAGTATGGGCCACCTTTGTAATATTGAGACCATCGCGTGAGTACCCAGATGGTAACCCACTAGCTGAAATCAGAATCAGACCGGAAGGCAGACAAACAGCGGGACAGGAACATGTTTAAAAGGAAAGAAGATAACACTCTAGGAGTTGAATCTCAAACGGGGTACAAAGTTTATTAACGTTGTAACGAGAGAGAAGATCCATCATTATTTTTTTATTTCATTAATTTTTTATTTAACTCAAGAAACGATGCTACAGTAGTACTGTAGAGCAGAAAATATTCGGACGGAAATATTTTCGGACAAAGCCGAATTTCGACCTTTCGTACGGAGTTCATTTTCGTACAGTGCTGCATGCTAAATGCACGTGTTTGCATGTGGTACGCATCTATAAATTTTAGTACGGAATTCATTTTAGTGCAAAAGAGGCCGTGTACGAAATCGTACGAAAATAAAGTCCGTCCGAAAATTGGCTGCTATACTGTATGTTAAGGCTTCTCTCTTCTGTACTAGAGAAACAGAAGACGGGTGTGTGATGTTAAGGCTTCTCTCTTCTGTACTAGAGAAACAGAAGACGGGTGTGTGATGGTAGGTCGTTAAACTATGTGCGTGCCAGGAGGAACATTTGCAAAGCGTTAAGCTTTGGACTCGTCACAAGTTCAACTCTTACAGTGTGTCGTCGATAGATAATTCGCCAGTACAACCGAGTGATTTCATAACTATCACATGACCATACGGAACAGCTGTGGTGATTGCAACTGCAGCCAACCCCTGCATCTATGTACCATCTATGGAGGAAGCGGAGGATGGAACGGGCGGCGAAGGGAGCAGTGAGTCGGAGAGCGATGATGGGAGTGATCGTGAGAGTGCCGGTGAGAGTGTAAGTGTTGTGCGTAGGTTTCGTGGTAGCAAGTCTTCAGTGTACAATCATCTTCTAGCTAGTCCTGATTGTTGCATTTCGTATTCCGACTCTTCGTTCACTGTATTGTGCCGTGGTCGTCATGGTTATGGACTACAGTTAAAACTGTTGGAAGCTATCTATCAGCGTCTGTATGAGCCTAATTTGTGTGTACAGAAAGACGGTATAATTGGGTTGAAATTGTTCAAGTAACAAGTCGTGTTTGGTGCGGCCAAGCTTGGCCGTTAATATTCTAAAATGTACTGCTGTTATGTGTTATCAATTTGTCCTTCCTTCTTTCTTTCACTTGTTTGTTCATTTTTCCATTTGCAAGTTTATTGTTAGTACACGCATTCGTTACTGCTCTCGTTAAAATTGTTAAAATTCACACTTGTAAAATTCACTGCTGTTCTTCTTAGTGTTATTTCTCTAACTTAGATTTTCTATAATAGTTCAATTTTGTTTCAGTGTCCTTTAGTAAAACGACGATTCCTGATGAGTGTTGTACGAAAACTTGTTTGACTCCTTCTTTTTTCTCTACACCAGTTCTTCATATTTTCATCGTTTTATTGCACATCGTCTCCACCGTTTTACAATGCATGAATAAAGTACACAAATGTAGGTTCAGCTCGTCTTATTCATTGCGGTTAAGTATACAATAAATGAGGAGGCCGAGGGTTTATGACCAATAAAAACTATTATAAAAACCGAGGTCCCCCGAGGTTTTTATAATTAGTTTTTATTGGTCATAAACCCAAGGCCGGAGCATTTATTGTATTTAGAATCAACCAGTAAAAACTCCTACTCAATCTCCAACAACAAAATTAGCGGACAGCTGTTATTTGTGTTGCTATGACAACCCGTGTGCTGGACGAGTATTTGTTGTCATTGGTTCAATTTCTTTTAGTCTTAATAGGCTATTAGATCATTTTCCTTATTCGGTCTATTTATAACCAATTTCAAATTTTGGACTTCACGGAGAATTTCAAACTTTTTAGGAAATTAGAGGCCACATGCCACCTACTGCTCTTTTCTCTCCGAAACTCAACACTTGCAAGCCAGATATGAAAGAAAGAAAAAATCATCAGTCACACCACCGGGACTCGAACCAGGGACCTTGCTATTCGCGAGCAATGCTCTAACCAACTGAGCTACAGTATGACTCTTATCCACAGTGATGGTAAATCTATCCTTCTTCGATCAATTCATATCTGGCTTGCATCATGCTGGCAACTCACACCAATCAAGAGGGCCCTCGGCCATTCGCTTGATATCATGGGGAGCGCATCAAACTATGTCCACTGCGAGCAAATACAAATTTTCAATTTCAAATTTTGGACTTCACGGAGAATTTCAAACTTTTTAGGAAATTAGAGGCCACATGCCACCTACTGCTCTTTTCTCTCCGAAACTCAACACTTGCAAGCCAGATATGAAAGAAAGAAAAAATCATCAGTCACACCACCGGGACTCGAACCAGGGACCTTGCTATTCGCGAGCAATGCTCTAACCAACTGAGCTACAGTATGACTCTTATCCACAGTGATGGTAAATCTATCCTTCTTCGATCAATTCATATCTGGCTTGCATCATGCTGGCAACTCACACCAATCAAGAGGGCCCTCGGCCATTCGCTTGATATCATGGGGAGCGCATCAAACTATGTCCACTGCGAGCAAATACAAATTTTCAATTTCAAATTTTGGACTTCACGGAGAATTTCAAACTTTTTAGGAAATTAGAGGCCACATGCCACCTACTGCTCTTTTCTCTCCGAAACTCAACACTTGCAAGCCAGATATGAAAGAAAGAAAAAATCATCAGTCACACCACCGGGACTCGAACCAGGGACCTTGCTATTCGCGAGCAATGCTCTAACCAACTGAGCTACAGTATGACTCTTATCCACAGTGATGGTAAATCTATCCTTCTTCGATCAATTCATATCTTTTTTTTGTATTTGCTCGCAGTGGACATAGTTTGATGCGCTCCCCATGATATCAAGCGAATGGCCGAGGGCCCTCTTGATTGGTGTGAGTTGCCAGCATGATGCAAGCCAGATATGAATTGATCGAAGAAGGATAGATTTACCATCACTGTGGATAAGAGTCATACTGTAGCTCAGTTGGTTAGAGCATTGCTCGCGAATAGCAAGGTCCCTGGTTCGAGTCCCGGTGGTGTGACTGATGATTTTTTCTTTCTTTCATATCTGGCTTGCAAGTGTTGAGTTTCGGAGAGAAAAGAGCAGTAGGTGGCATGTGGCCTCTAATTTCCTAAAAAAAAATATTTATAACCAGTATCTATAATGAGAGTGTGGTCTGTCTCCATGGTTACCGGTGTTCATTTCATAACTATAGCCACTGCTCCTTGTTAGACCTTATCTGGAAGGCCCATTCTTGCATATTCCAACAGCAGCCAAGGGAGCTAGCTCTCTTGGTTATGCGGATTGGGTACGATCCTAAAAAGCTGTTTTTATGAACTGTTTTTAAGAACTGTTTTTATTGGATAGGATATGATTATGTTCAATAAACGAGGATTGTGTCAATGGGAGATTGACTTGGAGTTTTTACGAGTTGATTCTAACAAATAATAATAATAATAATAATTAAAAAGCTTACGTGGAGATAAAAATGTAATCAACGCAATAAATAGAGTAAGCTGCGCACTCAGTACAAACACCATTAGCAAAACTTGTTTTCATGTAAATAAAGAAGCTTGTTCCTAAACGTTCTCGTCGCCATCTCATCAGAGGATTACTGGCAAATCATCATTAGCTCTAAACTCAATACATGCGCACAATGCAAGTAATAATTTAGACCCTAACTAGCGCGAGAAAATGAGTAATCCTCTGATGAGATGGCGATGAAAACGTTTAGGAACAAGCTTCTTTATTTACATGAAAACAATTTTTGCTAATGGTGTTTGTACTGAGTGCGCAGCTTACTCTATTTATTGCGTTGAATAATAATAATAATTCAAAGGATCAGTTGGGGAAGTGAACTGCCTGAAAAGAGAAAAAATCGCCAGACCCACCGGGACTCGAACCCGGGACCTTGCTTGTCATGAGCAATGCTCTAACCACTGAGCTATGGGACCGGGCTGAACCTAGAAGGCGCTGACACGTTTTTCACTCCAAAGGCAGCTCACAACACATGCCACACATACTGATGGCACTTGGGTCTTTCTCCCTCCCCTAGGGGACCAACCACGGTCAGTTTCTGGACAACTGATCCTTTGAATTTGAAATTCTCCCAATCCTTTCAAACATTTATCACTCTCTTTCACTTCTGGTAGGGTCCAGAAACTGACTGTGGTTGGTCCCCTGGGGGAGGGAGAAAGACCCAAGTGCCATCAGTATGCGTGGCACGTGTTGTGAGCTGCCTTTGGAGTGAAAAACTTGTCAGCACCTTCTAGGTTCAGCCCGGTCCCATAGCTCAGTGGTTAGAGCATTGCTCATGACAAGCAAGGTCCCGGGTTCAAGTCCTGGTGGGTCTGGCGAGTTTTTTCTCTTTTCAGGCAGTTCTCTTCCGCAAATGAACCTTTGAATTTGTAGTTCTCCCACTCCTTTCAAATAACAATAATAATAATAATAATAATAATATAAAGGATTAGTTGGGGAAATGAACTGCCTGAAAAGAGAAAAAAACCGCCAGACCCACGAGGACTCGAACCTGGGACCTTGCTTGTCATGAGCAATGCTCTAACCACTGAGCTATGGGACCAGGCTGAACCTAGAAAGCGCTGACAAGTTTTTCACTCCAAAGGCAGCTCACAACATGTGCCACACATACTGATGGCACTTGGGTCTTTCTCCCTCCCCCGGGGACCAACCACGGTCAGTTTCTGGACCCTACCAGAAGTGAAAGAAAAGTGATTAATTTTTGAACGGATTGGGAGAACTTCAAATACAAATGATCAGTTGGGGTCTGGAAGGGTCCAGAAACTGACCGTAGTTGGTCCCCTGAGGGAGGGAGATAGACCCAAGTGCCATCAGTATGTGTGGCACGTGTTGTGAGCTGCCTTTGGAGTGAAAAACTTGTCAGCGCCTTCTAGGTTCAGCCTGGTCCCATAGCTCAGTGGTTAGAGCATTGCTCATGACAAGCAGGGTCCCAGGTTCGAGTCCTGGTGGGTCTGGCGGTTTTTTCTCTTTTCAGGCAGTTCATTTCCCCAACTGATCCTTTGTATTTGAAGCTCTCCCAATCCGTTCAAAATAATAATAATAATAATTTGAAAGTAGGACGGAGGCAGAAAATATTACAAAAAATGTATTATCTACGCATGCATCTACGCAAGAGTCACCACCAGCCAATTAGGACATGTGTCAAAGTATTGAACGTTTTCGTTCCCTTCTTGTCAAAATACTACAGGGAATGATGGAAATAAGCTAAAAGACTACAACTATATGGAAAAGAAGTTCAGAAATATATCACTCCAATTATGTGTAGAAGTGTGTGTGTGGGTCTTTGTTAAATCTTGCCGTGTTGGAAGCTTTGTACATACGTAAATTAGACCCTGAGCTTTGTGTTCAGAAGGAGAATGTGTTGTCTTTGCAGTTGTTTGGCACTGTTCGTCGTGAAGGTGCGAAATAGATCCCTTGATCTCTTGATATTTCTCTCTTTTTCTTTTCACCACGTTTTTGTCACTTATTGGATTTGCATGCTGTTTTCTCGATTCTTCACATCTTTTTTTTCGTGTCACTTTTACACATAATTGGAGTGATATATTTCTGAACTTCTTTTCCATATAGTTGTAGTCTTTTAGCTTATTTCCATCATTCCCTGTAGTATTTTGACAAGAAGGGAACGAAAACGTTCAATACTTTGACACATGTCCTATACTTTGAAACATGTCCTAATTGGCTGGTGGTGACTCTTGCGTAGATGCATGCGTAGATAATACATTTTTTGTAATAATAATAATAATAATAACAGTGATGGAGAGTTATTCTTAGCTCGTATCCATGTGTCCTTTTCCTTTCTACATTAATAATAATAAACTTCATTTTGCTTCCGCTTCGGTTGTTCCCTTTAAAGATAGCACTGACTAGAGGTCACCAATACTGGTCAGTTCTGGAAGCTCCCAGCTACTGAAAGTTCGCCACGCCAATCGAAAGTCGCGTGAATGAGTCTCCCCTCTACTGACAAAAGACGGTGGCCGCTGCAATTTCAATCATCTACATAGAGTTCCAAACCAGAGTATGCTTACCAATGCAGAACTCTTCAGGCGGGGTGGCGCGCGTGATGACCCAGCCATAGGCACCATGTAAGTCAGTACAAATTGCTACTGGGACCCGTGCATGTGAGTTTGCAAAGTATCCAGAGTCGCACTTTAGCGGACTGGTCCGGCCATAGTGTATTGACGGAAACGTTCCATTCATGAAACGGTAGTCGTTGCATACTATTAGCAAACCAGAAAGACGAACAAGTCAAGGGCGCACACACACACATACACACACACACAATCTGACCATTAATTTTGACGCCCATCGCCTGAGGCGATGATAGCGATGCTACAGCAGAAGCCATGGCAACTTGTGCTGGGATTGCAGCATTCAACAGCTTGCAAGACTGAAAAATTGACCCCCACTATTCAGCCTGATCTACACCACACAGCTATGAAGTGGCTTTTCTGGCTAGTGAATCCCTACTTTTTGGTCTTTTTCCTTTTTTGTCCCGCATGCACTGGCTGTTGGTAACCAACCAAGAGAAAGAAAGAAAAGTCAGGAGAAGTCTGAGAAAGAGAAGAAAGACGTGTGTGACCATAATCGTCGGGAATCGAACCCGCAACCTCTCAATTGGAACTCGCTGCACATACCACTGCACCATATGGGACACACACACACACATCCACACCTAGCGATACTGCAGTGTATTCCGTGAAAGCCTGCCTGACATAAGTAGAAACATCTTTTGATCTAGAAAAGCGATCCTGTCAGCTTTTCTATTATTGTGTTCACAATGTAAAGGCTAATGACACCGCTTTTGAGACAAGTTGTCTACGTAAGTTTCTAGGAAAGGTGTGTGGTATCTGGACCAGGGAGCTACTCCATGGCTCCATGGCTCCTACCATCGCGTGGCCGGCCGGCCGCGTGCGTGTGCATAGCAGACATTTGTTGCAGCCTTTTCGTCTGTGCGTGCACGGGGAACTTCCTGCTTTGGAACTGCTTCTTGCATGAGCTGTCTTGCGTAGGGTTGGTGCAGTACAAGTACATGTACAAGTGTCAGACTAAGGCTGTGTTTACATGAGGCGTTTCAACCCACGTTGAGTTCGACCCGGGTCAGATTTCAACCCGCCATGTGCACAAAGTGAATGGCGCGTTTACATGACGCATTGCGCTTGACCCGGGTTGAAATTTCGCCCCGGGTTGATTTCAACCCTCCCCCCAAGGGGAGGGTTGAAACCAACCCGGGTCAAGAAAATCGTACAAACGTACTTCTGTGCGTATCTCGCGCCAGGTTTGAACAGCACTGCAGATGCAAATTTCGCGCGAACGGTTTCACGTGACCATGCAGGACTGTAGAAGTGGATTTTGGCCGCATATCAGTATTTGACCCGGGTCAACTGTCTTCATGTAAACGCTCACCTCTTTTGTCTATCGTACAGACTTTCAACCCGGGCTGAACTCGACCCGGGTTGAAATTTCTCATGTAAACACAGCCTAAACAAGTGTTTGAAAGCGGTATTTAGTAATAGTAGTAGTAGTAGTAGTAGTAGTAGTAGTAGTAGTAGTAGTAGTAGTAGTAGTAGTAGTAGTAGTAGTAGTAGTAGTAGTAGTAGTAGTAGTGGTAGTGGTAGTGGTAGTGGTAGTGGTAGTGGTAGTGGCAGCGGTAGCGGTAGCGGCAGCGGCAGGAGTAGCAGTAGCAGTAGCAGCAGCAGCAGCAGCAGCAGCAGCAGCAGCAGCAGCAGCAGCAGCAGCAGCAGCAGCAGCAGCAGCAGCAGCAGCAGCAGCAGCAGTAGCAGTAGCAGTAGCAGTAGCAGTAGCAGTAGCAGTAGCAGTAGCAGTAGCAGTAGCAGTAGCAGTAGCAGTAGCAGTAGCAGTAGCAGTAGTAGTAGTAGTAGTAGTAGTAGTAGTAGTTGTAGCAGCAGCAGCAGCAGCAGCAGCAGCAGCAGCAGTAGTAGTAGTAGATTTTATTCCCGTAGCTATGCAGAAGACGTTACTTCAGTAACGTCTGGCGCTAGCCAGGGTCCACACAGCTATAATTTGGTATTTGTTTGCTTGTGTGTTTGTTTCTTTGTGTCACGCCTGGCGCTATCCGTATCTGACGGCAAAAAAGCATAGGATGTTATAAATTTTTCAATTCTCCTTTTTTTTCAGGCATATCCTGGGATTCGAACCCGCACTATCGCCCTACATGTATTCCCCCATACACTTCGCATTCATACCCATTCTTCCAAGTTGCTTCACGTTCTTATCTTGCGTTTGAAAGCCCTATTTGAATATTGCGGGCAGCTAGACGGTGTGGTATTACCCTCGATCGTACCTGTCCCGTACCTATCCCCTACCGTACCGTGCCATCAAAGACGGCTGGCCACAATGCATATTCAAATAGGGCTTTCTTTTTTGCGAGATCACAATCGGCACAATGCGAAACAACTTGGAAGAATTAGTATGTATGCGAAGTGTATCGGGGTATGCATGCAGGGCGCGCGATAGTGCGGGTTCAAATCCCAGGTTAAAAAAAAAGGATTTTTTTAAAGAATTTATAACATCCCTATGCTTTTTTTTGTCTAGGTCATCAAGGCAAAAAAGCATAGCGTAGGGCCCTGAGCTTCCTAGCTCTCTCGTTATTTTACTAGGGGAGTCCCAATAGGCGTTGCCTTTTTACTGGGAACCCTAGGTGAATTTTTATCATGTTTACATACAGAGTAAGAGACGGGGCCTGACGGCAGTCAGTGGGAAGAGCCTTCCATCTGTCTGCCGCCAGGAAAGAAAAAGAACGCATGCCATATTGCGTAGAAACAGGCGGAAGAACTAATGCACGCTGTGCCTGGCCGCTCGTGCGAGCCTGGTGTCCAGGCACAGCAGCCCTAAGCTGGAACAAGGATTGGAGAAGGGGACTAGCAAGATGTGGGGTGAAGCAGCGGTACACGAAAATATAGATTTTAAGAATTATGCGCTGTTCAAAAGAATAGAGATGATATTTGCGGAGAACAATTTCAGTAGACATCATACGGTCAAACCCAAAAACTTTCTTCATTGCTATGTGACTGACCGTCACGATCTTATTGAACAGGGTGGCGCTGAAACAGTGCAGATAAGCGTTACTGGCATAGTCGAGAGTCAATTGCACAATGGATAAATAGAACGTCCTCTTCGCTTCAGGTGTTAGGTTTTTCGGCCATGACTGAAGGCGGCAATCTTGAACACCGCACCGCAGACCTTCTCGACTTGCGGCTGGAAGGTGAGATGCTCGTCGATGAGTAGTCCGAGATACTTCACGGGGTGAAAGGCTCGCCTTTACAAACTAGGGGGATTGGTAGATGCGGCACAGGTTGGCGTGGGCGCCGAAGGACCAGGAACTGCGTCTTGTCAGGGTTCATGAGAAGTCCTTTGTCATCTAGGTAGAGCTCCAGAGCGCTAAGGTCATCCTGAAGCTTTCGCAGCATGACAGAGAGGTCCGTTCCAATGATGAAAAAGGCGATGTCGTCGGCATAGAGCTGAGAAATACTGTTCCGAACAATCTGTGGAACCTTGCGGATGTAGATGCAAAAGAGGAGGGGGCCAAGGGCGGACCCTTGCGGAACTCCCCTGGTGCAGGGCACAGTCCCACCATGCTCCCCATTGACCATGACTTGTTGACTTCGGGAGGACAGATAGTCCGCAAACCACTTCAGCACCGAGCCGCCTAGGCCGAAGTCAGCCAGCTCGTTGACCAGTTGCTGATGCTGTACACGTTCGAAAGCCTTGCTCATATCTTCGAACAGTATCGCGCATCGCTGGCCATTGTCCAGTGCTCTTGTCCACCTATCTATGGAAACAGCGAGGGCATCTTCGCAACTGTGCTTTGGACGGTACGCAAACTGCTCCAGTGGCAAGGCAGACAGCTCTGGGTGGTCACGGAAGAATTCATTAATCTGCTGGTGGACAACCTTCTCCAATATCTTGGAGGCAACAGGCAGCAGAGATATTGGCCGGTAGTTGGTGGCTGCAAGTTTGTCTCCAGACTTGAAGAGTGGGCACACGTGTGCATGCTTGTAAGAGGCTGGAAAAACGCCAGAAAGTAGGGACTGATTGATTATGGATGTTAGTGAGGCCGTGATAGTTGCTTTGCATGACTTTAAGATGCAGGGAGGAATGCCATCCGAACCCGCGGCCTTGTGGGAGCTGAGAGTAGTCAGTAGAGCCTCAACTGTTTCAGTGTTGACCAAGGTGAAGTCAGTCAGGGTGCTAGATGCTGTCGGATCCCTGTCGGCCGGTATCTGCAACACTCCTGGCCTGGCTGGGTCGTGGACAACTGCCGCATATGTTGCAGTGAGTGCTGGAAGTGGCGCTGCAGGGGATTGGATTGTCAAGTGTTGTGATGATGGTGAGGTTTTGTGCGAAATTTATATTTTCGGCAAACACATTTCGTTAATTTTTTACTTTTTAGACGGAGTCCAAGGCAGTTTGGAAGCAATTTTATAAATTTTCTTTAGGGGAAGGACCCAGGACTAGAACACGATAACGTTTTTTTGAAAACTTCCATAAAGCAGTTTTTGTTGCTATAATTACAATGGGGTTTTGAGGGAACTTGAGTACTGTCCTATGTGTTTTGATGTTACAGGAATACTTTCGTTCTCATCGACTACAACTATGAGTGGTAAGGATCTTCCATTCAAAACCTTATGGAACATACAAAGTCAGATCTTAACTGGTGGGGTGTCCGGGGGGTGTGTGGGGGAGGGGGGAGGGGAGGGGGGAGGGGGGGATGTACAGAGTTTCATCCACTTCTGCATCTTAAGTGTGTAAAACAAAATATTAATTATATTTAATAATTATATTTAAACGGCCGTGAACCTATGGAGGAGCACCATGTCAGTGATCGAGTGGTTCAAGGAGATACCCGACAAACAGCGCCACACGTTCCTATGCTTTGACGTGGTAGAATTCTACCCGTCAATTGGTGAGCAGCTCCTCCGTCAGGCCTTATCGTTCGCGGAGCAATTCACCACGATCGAGCCGCGTGAAATGGACATCATCTTTCACGCCCGGAAATCGCTCCTATTCCACGATGGCCGCCCCTGGATGAAGGACAAGGGCGACATGTTCGACGTAACAATGGGAAGTTACGATGGCGCCGAGACGTGCGAACTTGTGGGAGCCTTTCTTCTCAACCAGCTCTCAAGCCTCGTCGATAGATCCGCTATCGGCCTCTACAGAGACGATGGACTGGCCGCCCTCAAGGACACCAGCCCACAGGCCGCAGACCGCCTCAGAAAAAAGTTGACGGAAATCTTCAAGCGCTTCGACCTCAAAATTACCATCGAAGCGAACTTGAAGGTGGTGGATTTCCTGGATGTCACCATGAACCTGGACACCGGGAAATTTCAACCCTTTCGAAAACCAAATGACAACCCGCTCTACGTCAGCAAGCAGTCCAACCACCCGCCTGGGATCACCAACAACATCCCTGCTGCTGTCAACAAGCGCCTTTCCGCTATATCGAGCGACGCGGAGGCATTCAACCATGCAGCCCCCGTGTACCAGACCGCATTAAAGGCCAGTGGATACACCAAAGTGCTGAGCTTTCAGCCCGAGGCACATGAGCACATGGGCAGGAAGAACCGCAGCCGGAAGATCATATGGTTCAACCCTCCCTACTCCAAAAACGTTAGCACAAACGTCGCTGGTAGGTTCCTGAGCCTTGTCTCCAGGCACTTCCCGAAAACATCCAAGCTCGGGAAGATTTTCAACCGTAACACTCTGAAAGTGAGCTACAGTTGCATGCCCAACATGGGAGCGGTCATCAGCAGCCACAACAAGAGCAACCTCCGAGAGCCAGAACAAACCAAGGCATGCACCTGTAGAATCAAGGAATCCTGCCCGCTGCGCGGAGAGTGCCAGACGAAGGAGATTGTGTATGAGGCCACTGCAGAATCTACCAGCAAGATTTACATCGGCCTATCAGAGACACCTTTCAAAGCCCGTCACGCCAACCACCTGACCTCCATGCGTCATGAGAAATACAAAAACAGCACTGAGCTCGCAAAACACGTATGGGAGCTGAAGAGCGAGGGAAAGCCGTTGACCATTACATGGAAGGTGCGGGAGAAGAGCCGATCATACAGATGTGAGTCAAAAAAATGCAATCTTTGTACCGCGGAAAAATTCCACATCCTGACTACACCCAAGAAGCTCCTACTCAACAAGCGGTCTGAGATGGTCTCGAAATGCAGGCACGAGAATAAGTTCCGCCTCGCAAATTTCACACCTATCAAATGAACTGACCAAGTACTGTACTGCACTTTGCCTGAGCACGCATTATTATTAATAACAAAATCCCTTGGCCTGTAGTCGGCGATGCCACTCTGCTCACGCCTGCCCGTCACCAAACGACTCCCTACTTGTAGCGATCTCACTGGCCCATTGCCCGCCACCCTCCTGGCACCTCCACCCATCTGCTGTACACTGCCTCCCCATCGCCTCTTTCCGCGCTTTCATGCTCACACCTGCCTGTTGCCCGCCACCATCCTGGCACTTCCCCCTGTCGCGCCTTGGCCCGCGCCAGCTTTCTCCCCATACCTCACACCAGATTTAGCGCTAAATTTGTTTATGCTTGTGGCTCTATGTTTATAAGCATACTGTTGGGTAGACCCGAGTATCAGTTGTCTGATGATTGCCTAGCGGCATGAAACTCAGAGTTACAACCAACCTGAACGTCCTCCGCTGAGTCTGCTATGTAATTATATTTAATTATAATTATATTTTAATTAACTTGTTGATACCACTTACCGACGAAAAACTCAGGAAGGTACCCACCTGTACATGGTGACAACGAAGAAAACGAGAATGAAGAGGTGTTAGAAAGTCTCCTTTTCCAATGCCGTGCTGCTTGATCTGTTTACAACACTTGTAACCAAAACATGGTATCATTTTCTACGCCTAGCAATTCTTGCCATTTCGTCCTGGAAATTGAAGTTATCGTGTGTATGTGCGCGCGGGCGTGTGTGTGTGTGTTAAAGTCACTGTTTGTGTGTTTGTGTGTGTGTGTGTGTGCACGCGAGCGCGCGTGTGTGTGTGTGTGTGTGTGTGTGTGTGTGTGTGAGTGTGTGTGTGTGTGAGTGTGCGTGTGTGTGTGTGCGTGTGTGTGTGTGTGTGTGTGACTGTGTGACATTGGAGGTGACGAAAAAGACGCGACATTCCAACAGTCAGCAATCGGCTATCAAGAGTCATCTGTCCATTAGTGATAGTTGTCGTGAGTTGTACAGAGATGTTTTCTCAGTTTTTGGCCGGTGGCAGATCTGTATTACATTTGTCTGTTTTGAAAGCGTTATAATTATACTGTAAAGCGCGAAATTTTCGCGGCGTTTTTAGTTCGCGTTTTCAGAATCCGGACAGGTTTGCGAGGTTTTAATTTTGCGATTGCAGAATGGCATTCTTGCTAAACCTGTGGCATTCTTGCTAAACCTTTCATGGATCTCCTTTTCGCGCTGTCTAAATTTCGCGATTTCCACGCGGTCGCGAATTTCGCAGAAATTAGACCATGGCAATAATTTCACGGTTTACAGTAGGGAGTACGTTGTCCCCTGAACTATGTGTTAAGAAGGAAAATGTTTTATCGCTTCAGTTATTTGGCGGTAATCCTCGTGAAAGTGTCAGGAATGCTTCTTCTCATTGATGTTTTCATTATGTTCTAGTCATTTCTTCACCTTCACCCTGTTGTTGACTTGTTCACCTGAGTTTTATTTTTTCCACACATATAGCGTGAGTGCTCAATCTATGCTTTTGCTGTACTGTAAGACATGTTATTATAGCGAGTCGCAAATTTAACGATTGTCCAAAATTCATGGGTTAACAAGAAGATATGCTAACGATCCTGTAGTATTCCGCCATATCCACACACAGCATAATATATGAAGCCACACGGCCTAAACGAATCTTATTATAACGAAGAAATGTCATCCGTTAAAACGTTAGATTTACTTCCTCGTTATATATATGCATGTCTTACAGTATAAGGGCCCTTACACACTACGTAGAAAACCGCTTTTTTGTTGCGTTCCTGTAAAAGTTGCCATGTCGACTGACGTCATATGGCACGAAATCTAAAAAGTTGCGTAAACGTTTTACTCAGATCTCGGACGGGTGTAGAAGGCTGCTTTTTACTACCTCCGACAAGCGAAACTTGGCGCGTTTTTTACTTCAAATTACACGAAATAACTCACACTTTTCAATCAAGACTAATGATTGACTCACCACAAAATATTACTTTGCATTGCTCAACAAGGATATAAGAGACATCAGTTAGGCTGAATCACTCTCCTCTGATTCAGAGATCGCAGTTTCTTCGGGAGAGGAATTGTCCCTGTTTTGAGACGAAAGAGCGACTAGAGCAGATTCAGTTGCAGCAAGTATCTCTGTTGTGATCGCTCTGGAAATCTCGATGTCGCTCCTGTGGTTGAGCCACGGTGTCCAGGGTCGTCATTTCCGCCGCCACTATCTAGGTTGACGTGGTAAGAACTCTGCAGCACCTCCACACGCGCCTTGACTGCAACATGTTTGCCGGGTATTCTCTCCTACTGTCCAAAATTGCAGGCAGCAATTCCTGGCGCTTTTCCTTTGCCACCAGAGACGCATCGCTCTGAAGGCTATTGAAAGACGCTAGGATTATTTGGCATGGATGTATGTACTCTGTGCTGTCTGAGTGATCAAGTGAAGGGAGAGAACTTCTTGGTTTTGCATTGAAACGCGAAATCACGACGATTCTCCTTCGCAGAATGGAGGCGCTTCGCGCGCGCACTGTTGTGCTGGTACACGAGAGACTGGCCTGCTTCTGACTAGTCGAGCCATGTGCCACTCACCAGCTCGTCGCTTGGCTTCCTGCACCCGGTTGCATGGAGGGTACAAGTAGGTCGCGTACCTCACAGCCTTGTGAAGTAACTTGTGGTACTAACACAAATAAAAATCAAAAAACGCGCCAAGTTTCGCTTGTCGGAGGTAGTAGCTTTTTAGCTTTTATGCCTTCCCGCGCTTTCGGACTTCAACTTCTTGTTGGTGTTTTTGCTGTTTGATGCTGTGTGGATTTCCGTGTTTCAATTTCAGCTGTCCATTGGATTTTTCGCCTGCTTCTGAAATTCTCGTACTTGAACTCGTGTTGTTCAAGCCGTAGTAGACTCGAACTTGTTTGCTCGCTGAGCGCGACACGATGCCGAAAATCCAGTGCTCAGAAGAAATGGAGGTGAAGCTCATGGAGCTGTGGGCGATATATCAAAAAAACAAGGCATTCCAAACTCGTTCTCAGGGTGAGCTGTCCACAAGTTGCGACCAATTCTGTATTTGACGGTACCATTCCGCAACAGCATGCTGAGCATCGTCGTCACCATGAAATTTGAGCAACTGTGATCAGTCATCTAGAAAATATCAAGAACAGGACCGACATCAGACGACTTCACTAGCTTCTGCAGGTCCTGCAATGTCATGTCGGCAACAATTTTACGTCGCCGCTTTCTCCTTGCCGGAGTCAACCTGAGCTCCATGGGCATGGCTCCAACACAAGATGCAGAACGAAATCAAAGAAGCACACACAGCACTCGTTCTGAGAGCAGAAATTTTCATCCGAACTGCACTACATGTACATGTACGTAAAAAGCAGATCACTTGTCAGTGTGCAACTGCACTTGATCAGGCTGGCGCATACGCAACGTTAGTTGCGTTTTACATGTACGTAGTGTGTAAGGGCCCTTAGTTGCTGTATTTGACATTTTTCCATTATTCCCTGTATTTACCCATGATGAGAAGGGAACGAAAACGTTCGGTTACTAAATTGGCTTACCTGACTGTGTGTATTGGGTCGGTGCTGACACCTTTCCTTCGAAATGTTATAAATGTAATAATGCTTTTAATTTTCAGGAAGAAAGGAATTCTATTGTAATAGTACATAGTACATTGTATGTGTAACTTTATTAGGATGACCCAAAGGCAAATCGCCTATCGATGGGCTCGCCGCGCTGAATGGTTGTGGTATGACAAAGCAAAGAGGAAACCATTGTGTGTGTGGGGAGGGGAGGGGAGGGGGGGGGGGGAGTTTTGAACTATGCACAGTGAAGGGATTATTGTATGTACATGACCAAGGATAGGGTATACCGGACAAAATTGCCATTTTTGTGAGCAATGGATTGGGAAGTCGAACAGTATTGTGACACATACCAGTATGCTCTTTATAATGGACATTACTTCTCTACAAACAGAAGTTTCCGCTGTCACTTGTAGTATGTTTAACAAGTTCTTTGCCTGAGAATATTACAGTTTGAAAGTCCCACTATTTGGTCTCAGATTTTCCTTCTTTCATTTCAAGTTGAGGAGAAAGTTCTAAGTCTTTAAGGTGGCTCATACCTAAATCGAAAACGAGTCCTTTGAGCATCCTTCTGGGCAGGTTTGGAGTAGAAATATGTTTGCCTCTCGCGGGTTCGGGCTTCCCCGGTGAAAACGTGTTCTTCTTTTTCGGTAGTGGTTTTGACAAGATATGCTTCTATAATGGACTCCAAAGTTTGTTCGGGTGGTAACAGAAACATGAAACTTGGCAGGCACTTGTGCATCAATCAAAGGAACATTCGTACTAAATTTTAAGGAAATCCATTTAGGCGGTTTCAATTTTCTTGAGGGCAGTAATGTGTAAATTTAATTTACCCCCAATCGACAAATTGAGAGGACTTGAGAAAGTATGCTTCTGGTAGCTGCAGGGGGCTATAACTTTGCAGACGCTTTCCATCTAAGTATACCTCAGCAAAATTGGAATTAAATCTAACGGGCCATTATGTTTGACTATAATAATAATGTGGAAAGGAAGAGGACATCTGGATACGAATTAAGAGTAACTCTCCGTCACTGTAACTTGATACTATACAGTCAGAAAGTACAATACCTAGCCACAAAACTGACAATATAATTATAGTATCCAGATATGAGCCCGAGCGCGCTAAAACATGACCACAGCTTTTTTTGAAAAAGTCGAGATAATCGCGATTTGAATTCCGCGGCAAAAAATACGAAGTGCAGTGCAACGCGAGTCGCTGTTGTTGTTTTACTCGGTCGACTGGATCTGTTCCGGATGCAATTCTTTGTTGCAAGTAAGTTTATTTGTTAGAGTTTGTATTCCATGTTGCGCTGAGTCGCCTAAAACTGATCGTCATCGATGTATCGACAGAAGAGCCTAGTTGTAGTAATGTACTGCGGAGCGGAAGAAGACGACATCATCGCACTCCATGCGCAGGATAAAATATTTTGAGGATTCGAGTCGGAAACAGAAGGAAGACGATGATGGCTACAGCGACGAGTCATTTGAGGGCAACACTTTCATCGAGCGTAAAAAGAATTGATGCTGGTAGTCCCACGATCTGCAGTGACGAGGAATTCTACTCTGATGACAACCTGGCAAGCGATTGGCATCGACACTGACTTGGGAGGTGAGTCGGCCGATGATTTGGCCAGAATGGACATCGCTGCACATATCCGGGACAATGCCAGTATTGGTTGCAAGTGCAAAAACAATCACTGGACTCTGCTGCTACCTCAACTTGCTCAAGTCGATAATTTTGAGTACCCTTATGCGGAACATCGCTAGCACGAGCAGTAGGCAGCGAAAGCAGTACTCTCTGGTGAGCGGAGAAAACCGTGTGCAGATGGGCTTTGGTGTTGGGAATATGAGTGCGACGTCGAGTATGTTGAGGAAGACTGTGTGTAGTGGTGTATACTGTATATCTGAAAGTACAGGTGGAGTGTGATGGAGAGGACGTGGAGTGCCAACTTCTTCCGCCATCTTATTAGTCTGATGTTGACCGTGTTTTCGCTGGCGGTTCTCCAGTGGTGCTCCAAACAGGAGGTATTTCGGACACCCAGCTCAGCTGCCTATACACAATTTGGATGTGGCTGAGTACCTGTCAGCTCATGCTATAAGACCCTGGACAGAGGAACTGACCCGGAAAGGATGAACCCAGGGGCATATCAATTGTGTGCAAAAATGACAATCCCATTGCTGTACATAGAATTTCACCATTTCAACAGTGCTGCATATAATACCATTGTAGCAACACTTAGACATGTCGGATCAATCCAAAACTTTCAGACAGTGAACATTAGGTGTGTTAGATCATTTTTGAACAAAAACTGAAAATCGAATTTTTGGTCTGTGGTCATGTTTTGGCGTGCTCTGGCTCATATAAAGTATCCAGTTACAGTGATGGAGAGTTACTCTTAAATCGTATCCAGATGTCCTCTTCCTTTCCACATTTATTTATGGCTCAACATCCGAGTTTCAAATATAATAGTAATAATAATAATAATCAGGAAATTAGAGGCCACATGCCACGTACTGCTCTTTTCTCTCCGAAACTCAACACTTGCAAGGCAGATATGAAAGAAAGAAAAAATCATCAGTCACACCACCGGGACTCGAACCAGGGACCTTGCTATTCGCGAGCAATGCTCTAACCAACTGAGCTACAGTATGACTCTTATCCACAGTGATGGCAAATCTATCCTTCTTCGATCAATCAATATCTGGCCTGCATCATACTGGCAACTCACACCCGGTGGTGTGACTGATGATTTTTACTTTCTTTCATATCTGCCTTGCAAGTGTTGAGTTTCGGAGAGAAAAGAGCAGTACGTGGCATGTGGCCTCTAATTTCCTAACACTTTAAAACAATTCTCCGTGAAGTCCAAATTTGAAATTAATATTAATAATAATAATAACTTTATTAGGATGACCCAAAGGCTGACCGTCTATTGTGCTATAATGTTTTGGTCTACCGCACAAGTCAGCCAATATTGGATTCAGTAAACCTGTCCCTGTGGAAATTTGCGGAAAAACTCTCAAAAACTTGCGCAAGAAATTACAGCAGAAAACAACAAAAAATGCAACGAAAAGTGCGGAACGATGCAGAACTTGCCAGGAATTCGCGGAAATATTTACAGAAAATTGCAGATTTGAGCCAAATCACGCAATTTGTTGCATCGTATATCTACTCGGGAGTAGTACGAGTGCAAAAAACCTACAGGATCATGGAAAGCACTGCGTGAAAAGTGCAGAAAGAGTGAGATATAGTGCAGAAAACAACAAAAAACGCGGGAAATCCCGGATTTTGCTGAAAACCGCGGGTTTGGGCGAAAATCGCGAAATTTGTTGCATCCGTGGAATCGCGATTTCCTGGAGGGACAGGTAAACCGTGCTCCTAGGTACTTCACATCGATTCAATGTCAAATATCTAATGTTTAGCATATGGACCACGCACATAGCTGGCTGTACCTCTTGAAGAAATTAAGAAAATCTATCAGGCCAATTTCGGAAAGCACCCCGCGGAGTACCGATATTTGCGTTCCAAACCTAAAGAGATTGTTAGTGTGGGTAGCCAAGATCCCTGAAAATAAAGCCCTTTCGCCCTATTTGGCTTGGCTCGACTGCAGAAATCACCACTCAGATACCTGAAGGGAACACTACAACATTTAGTCTGAACACTACAATAGTAGAGGAAAAATACTGGGATGTGTTTTTGTGCAAAATGCTCCAAAATAACGGAAATGTTAAATCGGGTTAAAACTGTGAAGAAGTGTTTTTTCCCGTTTGTGTCTTTCCCTCAAAGCTGTGACAGTGCTTCAATCCTTCTCATTTTTCGGGATGGACAATATTTTGGTAGGATTGAAGCTGTGCCATTTTGAACAAAATCGATCGGGCTCATGCAACCACGCGGTTCCGAAGAATGACAGACTTATACACTGCACTTACCTGGTGGCGTACTATCTGTGAATGTACCATGAAGGAGCTTCTCTGAAAAAGAAAAAGAGCAAAACATACAACTTCCACTATGAAGAGATCGTCATTATTGTCAATTACCAAAGCATAAGAAATCGGCAGTCAGGAAAATGCAAGGTGAAAAGTTGAATGAAAATTGGAAAATTGATCGCGCAGAAGAACACGTTTGTTGAGTTCCTTGCTATGGTGAAGGTTTCAGAAAATAATGCCACAGCCGTCAAGGAGTTGGAAAGTTGGCCCGGCCTCAGGTCTTTTCTATGATGTAGGCATGTCCGAGGTCTTTAGAAGGCGGCCGCTGGTTTGCTGTAACTTTCAGCTTTTTCGCTGTTTCAAGCACAGGCCGATCACTTCACCTGAAAAGCAGGAAAAGGTCGGGTTCCCTGCCATGATTAGTGCTGCACCCAGCTTGTTTTGTGTGAAAGTATATTATACAAGCAGCACCAACGGCCGGCGTTGCCTGGCCGAATGTGGCATGCGGGTGAAGCAAGTACATGAACAGCACACGTGCTCAGCACGTGGTGGTGGCCAGACCGCTGAAGTCCTGGTGAGCTTGAGGGAGGTTCTTCAACGTTGGAAGGAGAAGGAGGGACGTCTGTTACGCCTTCGGGAGGCTGGTCAGGGTTGTCCATCACCTGGCGGCGGATGAAGCGGCTCAAAAAATTCATAAAATGACGAACAAAAGTGCGATGCGCTCTTCACTGCAGATCAGATGCAGAGTGTAGTCAGTGCAGATCTTTTGTATCCTTTTGTTGCAGATGTTTCTATTTGCAGAGAACGGTTCACGTGGTCCGCAGCGCTTGTGCGGCTGCTAGTGCTACCTATGGCCTAGACTAGGTATAGATGGCTACATGATTCGCACGCTTCGCGTGCTCAGTGCTTCTGCGCGCGGCTGCTACTGCACTCGTACTGATCGTGTCTGCTACCACCTACACTGTTTGCACGCTTCGCGTGCTCAGCACGTGGTGGTGGCTACACGATTCGCACGCTTCGCGTGCTCAGTGCTTCTGTGGCTGCTTCCGCTAGCTACACGATTCGCAGTGCTTCTGCGGCTGCTAGCTACACTGTGCTACACTGTTCGCACGCTTCGCGTGCTCATGGCAGTGCTGCTCCGCAGCGCTTCAGCGTGACACAAAAACACACGTCACAGATGCCTCTTCTTTATAAGGAGCGTGACACACACACACACACACACAGACACACGTCACAGGTGCCTCTTCTTTATAAGTAAAGATTATTAGGGAGGTTCCGGAGTACGATTTTTCGTGCCAAAATCCGTGGAGGCTCTACGGATTTGTTATACGTCGTTTTCGAGCAGTGAAAAGTTCCGGGGTACGGAACTTATGTGTTTGCCGTCATTGCCTAGGTTACGATCGCAAACACGTCACATTCCCGCGCTTGGCCTTTTTATTTTGAAAATAGGTACGGAAATCAAAATTTCCCGCAAAAAATCAATGTTTCTCGTACCAAATTTGTACGCGAAAAATCTTTCTGCACCCGATGACGCAAAATCTCCATACAAACCATGGTTCGTATGAAAGCCAGTCCGCATGGATTCTCCGTGCCGAAAAATCGTATGGAGCACGCCTGGAAAAAAATCCGTAGCGCCCCTACGGATTTTGGCACGGAAAATAGTACCCCGGAACCTCTCTAATATCATTCGTATATTATAATACTTAAAAAAAGGACACACTTCAGGCTCATTACGAACATCATGAAAGTTTTTGTCTTCAGAAGTATACTAATGAGCCTGAAGTGTGTCCTTTTTATGAGTATTATCGCATTTTTGTCTCAGAGGAAACTGTATTCTTATAAGTATTACAAAATAATTGAGAGGCTTTGAATCGTTTTTATCAAAATCTAAATATTTGCCGGGTTGGAAGGTGGGAATGGAAAGGAGACCCGCTAAAATCATTTCGTCACTTTTCGAACAATGGCCACAAATGGATAATATTTGTACTGTTGATTGTGTTTTGCTTTCTTTGTCGTATTCCGTTCCCTTTCGCCTTGTTTCTCCTTGGCGATGTCCAGTGCTTGCCGCATCCATATTCGCATGTACCACCGACGCCACAGACTCAGCCACAGCACTGCTGATGACGGATGCAGTTGGCGGTTCCGGGGGAGGCAACGGCAACAACGCCGGGGGGTGGGGGCATCACCTCATCGCAGCATCCACTTTGGTCTTGAGCTGGATGTTGTTGTGGCGTGCGCACTTGTGTTGTCATGGTGCATTGTGTCTTGTTAACAATGTGCAGATTCTCCGTATCCAAGGCTCTCGACCCGGGTAATGGAGGCGCTCTTGCCGATGGCGGTAATTGTACTAACGACGGCTGTGGCCGAGGGTTCTTAGGTGGCCTGCGGCGTTTGGGCTGCAGCGCCCGTGCCGAGCCAGTCAGCATGTGCAGTGGGACATGCTGACTGAAAACAACAAAATCAACATTCAACGACCTAGATGACCAAAGGCTAATTATTCAAGGATTATTACAAGAAGAAAAGAGGACCAAAGAGCTACAGGTTATGCTATAGTGACCACTACGAGTTATTACAGCACCGGATGCCAAGCACCAGCGAAGACACGGGAAAACAGGACTTAACAACAACAGGAACAACAACATTCGTAATAATTGACCATCAAGATTAAAGAAGGAGTCAGTGAACAGAGGCTAAGGAACATGAAGCGAGTCTGGGAGTGATCAACATTGATGAGGAGAATGACACAGAAGATGACACTGAGGATGAGATGAGAGATGAGATGGAGGACGAGGTTGCGGTTCATGGAGAGAAAGAATCGGATGGAGATTGTGATCGTAAGAAGTCTGCTGTTTTTCTTCATTAATTTGTTGTCTCACCCTAATTGTCTCCAGGTTTATGATGATTTTAGTTTTTCTGTTGTGTGTCGTACACGGTATGCTAGTCAGGTGGAAGTGCTTGGGGCTGATTGTACCCGTCAAGTTGTACAAACCTGATCTTTGTAAGCAGAAGAAACATGTATTTGATTTTTAATTATAGGTTAGTGCATGGCAGGGAGGGCCTCATGGCTTGTTAGTGCCCCACAGGTTAGCCTGAGGGCTGTAGGCCCAAGGTCACACCTGAAGAGTACAAACAAGCCATAAAGCCCTCCCTGCCATGCACTAACTATTTTAGAACGAGGTTACATGTATCATCTTGCATTATGCTTGTGCACCCCTATATTGGGTAGTTGTGTGGTTTATGTGCAGAGAGAAAAGGAGAATAGAAGCAAATGAAATGCTGGGTTGTTATTGCAAGCTTCAGTCTTATTCATAGCTTGTGGAGCTTTATATAGGGTTTCTCGCCAGCTGTTCACAAAGGAAAAGCGTACAGATGAAAGAGGGGTTAATTAAAATGCATGAAGGTAATGGAAATTCGAAAACGATCACTCAAAAGGGTAGAGTGCTGTGGCAAAGGTTTCAGAAAGATTGCCACTGCTGGAATGGCTAGTATAAGTATCTATTATTGCACGATTAAAGAGGTCAATATATGAAATATAGAACGAGTAAAAGACCGAGGTCCCCCGAGGTCTTTTACGAGGTCTATATTTCATATATTGACCGATTATGAGGGCAATAATAGATTTATCACGACATAGCATACCTAAACTGTTTTTAGCTGTGTTTATAGGAAGAAAGGAATACTATTGTAATAGTACATAGTATGTACATATGCCGTTTACATTGGACATCACTTCTCTATAAACAGAAGTTTTCAGTTGTCACTTGTAGTATGTTCCCCAAGTTCTTTGACTGAGAATCTGACAGTTTGGGTTCGAATCCCAACGTTTGGCTTCAGATTTTTCTTCTTTCAGTTATAATTTTTTTCTAAGTTGAGGAAAAGTTCTAAGTCCTCGGGCTAAGTGGTCAATAATAAGTGGTCAATATAAGCGGTCAATATATGCTGATATTTGACCGCTTAGAGATCACAAGTTTCTGTGGGGGTCAATAATAAGAGAGTGATAATACTGCTTATCACTCTCTTATTATTGACCCCCACAGAAACTTGTGATCTCTAAGCGGTCAAATATCAGCATATATTGACCGCTTATATTGACCACTTATTATTGACCACTTAGCCCGAGGACTTAGAACTTTTTCCTCAACTTAGAAAAAAATTAGAACTGAAAGAAGAAAAATCTGAAGCCAAATGCTGGGGTTTGAACCCAAACTGTCAGATTCTCAGTCAAAGAACTTGGGGAACATACTACAAGAGACAACTGAAAACTTCGGTTTACACAGAAGTAATGTCCAATGTAAACGGCATATGTACATACTATTACAATAGTATTCCTTTCTTCCTATAGCAAAGCAAAACCAGTTTTAGGTATGCTATGTCGTGATAAATCTATTATTGCCCTCATAATCGGTCAATATATGAAATATAGACCTCGTAAAAGACCTCGGGGGACCTCGGTCTTTTACTCGTTCTATATTTCATATATTGACCTCTTTAATCGTGCAATAATAGATACTTATTGTACTACTCCCTGGCTAGAACTGAGTACAATTACACATGCATTTTTCTGATTTCTTCTCCAGTGTATGATTTATTGCATTTTAAACCATTGTGTTAATTTGCCCGTAAAAGAGGCCTTTTATTAGTACAATTACGATTATGGGAATTTTGTGTAAAACTGACTATAGTTGCATGCTATGGGAAGTGGTGTAGAGCTCCACCTATAATAAAGGCAGAAAAGTATGCAGCCTCTGAGGAAATCCCATTGCCTGCCCGCTCATCGATCAGGAAGAAGAATAGTACAAATACCAAGGATTCCTTGAAGCTGGAGGTATGGACCATTCACGTATGAAGATGAAAATTCTGCAGGAGTACCAGTGGCGTGCGCAACGAGTACTCCGTTCAGCTCTAAACGGCCACATCATCATCATCACAGCCATCAACTCCTGGGCTGTGGCCTTGATACGGTAGTTCTGGTATCATGGCATGGACGCCTGACGAGTTGAAATCTGCTAACCGAAGAATGCGCAAGCTTATGTCACTATGCACGG